GCCAACGGGCTGGGTGTGCATCCGGAGATCCTCCTCTTGCGGAAAGGCGCCTGGGGACAGGATTTCTTGAGGAACTGGACGCGGCTGCCTTCTCCTGGCTTCTTGCATCCCAGTCTGCGGATTCCTTCAGACGAACGGCATCCTGAACGAGTGGCTCTGCAGCATGCCATTCTTCCCCACTGGGGAGTCTGGGTGCAGGGCCATGCAGGTAGGGCCAACATCGCCTGGAAGTCTTTTGGATGGAGGCCTGAGGTAAGCCTGGCTTTCTCCTTGGTGGCGCGAGCAGATGGGACGGACGTACCCCCGACAATGGCAGTCGCGGGCACGGGCTTGTGGGAACGGCGCTGGACACACGGGGACTTTGCTTGGGCAGACGACGAGTGCCGCGGCCGCGAAGGTCTGAGGGCAGCGAAGGAGGCTTTTTGCCTCGAACGTCGCGCGCAGGTCTTGGCGTTGCTCGCGAAAGAAAACGATCGAGCAAAATGCGGCCGCGGTGCAGTCCATGCTCGGATGTCGTTTGCCGCAACCCACATGGGACATGTTGTGAAGCCAACTGCTGTAGACCTGCCAGACCCTTCCTTTCTGATCGCCTTCTAAGTCAGCTTTCCGACATCCGGACAGGGTCCAGCTTCCCAGCCGGGTGCTGGACACTTTCCTGCCAGAGAGCCTCTTCTTGCACCCTTGCCGCAGTTCTGAGATGAGACTGAGACACAATGCCCCCAGAAATGGGGGTTTACGATAATACGGGACCCCGAATATAGACCCCCAAATAATCGGATCCCCTTATAAATGAGGACCCCAATACTGTACCCCTCGTATCCTAAACCGTTCATCAACCACCCAAATAGGATTCGCAGAGGCAGACCGAGGCCACCAACGGAAGACGAAGGAAGATGTGGACCGGTCCCAAAGCCTTGGCCCTGTTAACTCGGCACTCCCAGCCCCCCGAGGCTAAAGTTCCGCACCCCTTTCTACTAACAGTCCTTAAGTCCTTAGTAGGGATTATAGTACATCATTGTAGTATATTGTAGTACACTATAGTATATTATATAGTATATTGCCCTCACAAAATCTTCGACTTGCGTCCGTTCGCCCAGCCCAAACAAAGTAACCCGGGGCCCCTGCCGAGATTCCCACGGCCCGGGCTTCGGAACTGTGCAGAAGCAGGGAGCTCGGCTGCGTCATGGGTTTGTAGGTAGGGTTTGGGGTTTGGGGTTTGGGGTTTAGGGTTTAGGGTTTGGGGTTTAGGGTTTAGGGTTTTAGGAATTGAATGATTAGGTTATATCGACTACTCGTAGTAGTGTTTCAGTATATTGCGTTCTGCTCAGATCTTTGTGATGTTGTCACTAGTTTTTCATGGAGCCTCTATGCTGCACACCAGTTGCGTACCTCCGCGCAGCATGCAAGCCATTGAAGTTACGTACACATGCACATGTATAGATATGTATGTATACATATATATAAATATATATGTATATAGGCAAGAGTTCGTATGGATACAGGTATCTACCTGTACATATACATCTGTGTGTACATATGGCCCTGATGTTGGTGCTATTCTTTAATAGTTTTAGCCCCAAGACTCTAAGAAAGCTCAGGCAGGGATCTCCTTGGACAACTGCCCGTGGCAGGACATACAAAGAAAGAGGTGCCGGGCATGTGCAAAGTTCGTCTTAGCGCCGTGGCTTTGAAGGACACTCGTTCGGTACATCTTTGCGTTGCACCGTCGGAGTTGCTGCGAGCTTGGATCTGTGCCATAAGTCTGCGTTCAAGCCACATGTGCTTCTACATGTACCTTGCCCATGTCGTGTATGGACATTTTGCGAGGGAGGGCCTGTAAGCGTTCAGGTCTGACTTTACGCGCTCAAGCTACCCTGTTCTTGCTTTCGCACGGAACCGGTCTGCTGCCGCGGGCCCGGACATGCCAGGGCATTTCTTCGTGTTATTGCAAGACGGGTCCACCCAGGAAAGGCATGGGCAAGAGCTTCATGGCCTAAATTGGGATCCTTGAATTCGACGTCCAAGCATCCAATACAGTTTAGCTATTTTACCTGTCTCAGCCGAAGGTTTGGGGGCCTCTTACAAGGCCACCCCTTCCCTCCAGAATGACTGAACCTCGCTGAAGCTGAAGCGTGGACAACAGCATATCGGCTCAGCACATGTTTTGTCTTTGAGTCTTTGATCTCTGATATCTCTTGTTTGGGTCAAGTGCTGGAATTCGACAGAATACACTTCCCAGCTCGAGCACGACGGCGCCGTCGTGTCTCAATCCACAACACATGAATCCCGCACGTTGCGGTCCCTGCTTCAATTTGTTTGGAGCTCGAGGGTCTTGAGATGTTGGAGACATGGCACTCAGGCCGATCGTTGGCTGCGGCATGGGCTGGACGAGCAGGCCTGTTGGATCCAGCAAAAGACAGGTATGCTTGCCACTGTCTTAAGCTCATTTGTTCCTCTTTCTTGTCATGACAGTGCCAACACGTAGTCAACAGGGCGTCTGTGCGCCAGGAGCGCTTTTCGGAGCGGTGCCGTGACTTTGCGAAGAAGGCGATCTGGGCGACGCTTCGGGTGATCAACGAGGCACTTCAAGGAGAGGGGCTTCGGGAGGGTAAGGCTGGTAAGAGGGCGTCTTAAGCTCACACCAATTGAAGCAACATGCTTGTTTTCTACTTAATGCATCCATGCGGGCCCGCCCTTCTGCGCAGCCTTTTGGGGCTGGAGGGCCCACGGCTTGAGCTTGCCTATGAGCTCCTGAGCATTTTCGTTCATGTCGCTCTTCCGTCACTCACTTTACTCTATGTAATCGGCTGGTAAGCATCTCCAATGCCTTCAAGGCTGATGCTGATTTTTCGCCTCGATCCTGACTTTCTTCATGTTTCACTGGTTTGCAAGTTCACACTCCTTCCAGCCACTTGCCGCAATTCCCGCTTGTGTTCCCGTTGTTGGGCTTCTTTCTCGTGATCATCTTGGAGCGTTTCTTATGGGCGGAAGCGCTATCCGCTATCCCTTTTTAACGACTTCCTTCACAGAGCGCCGCGGGTGAGAGTTCCTATGTTAGTATCATTTGCTCGTCTGTGTGTCAAATGGCTAGAATTGGATTCTAATCTGAGTTTTGGGCGCGTTTTTGGGATGGGGTCCTTCTGTTAGAGGTGCTGGGAAGGTAACCGCCATACTTGATTCGACTTGAATACCTCGTCTTTGTCTGACCCACTCGACCTGCTCAATTGATGATCATTTCGGCTGGCCATCTCGTCTTTGTGACTGTCAGGCATTGGAACCCGCTGGAGTACGCTGCGCGCAGTACGCGCCTGCGCAGGAGAGCCCTACGGGGTTGTCTGCTGTGCCGCTTCGGTGTCTTAAACATCCCACATCATCCCACTGTGCGGGGAGATAGCTTCCTAATTGCTAATTTCTACTCATGTTATGACTATTCAATTTGTTATTCATTATTAACAATGTCATTTGTATGTTCATTTCTTTAATGTTCATATTCAAACTATTTGTGTTAGAGGCCACCTTGGAGATCGCATCCTTCGGGTTCAATCCGCATTTCCACACCGACCTCCGACGCTTCGCTTCGCGAGCACGTGGTCTGTTCAAAGAGGGTTTTTGGGGTTTGGGGGCTTTGGGGGGTTTCGGGGATGTTGGGGGGTTTGGGAGTTCTTGGGGTTTTGGGGTTTTGGGCTTTGGGCTTTGGGCTTGGTAGCACCAGCCGCTTAGCCGCTGACTCTGGCTTGATTGCGTTCTGGCAGCGACGACATGTGGGTGTAACGTCCGAGGAATCGCGGTGCGGCCCTTGTTGGCAGGCGTCCTCACTGAGGTGGCTGCTGTGTTGCATACAGAATCGGTGCAGTGCCTACGTGGCAACGTGATGGTGGCGGGAGCAGTGGGTCTGCAAGCGGGCCCGAAGTTTCTTCGAGTCCAAATTGAGGTTGTGTTCGACGTCCGGTGGTTCACGAGCCAGGTGTGGTGTTGACCTACCATGTGGTAGTGACAGTGGCACTCAATCTCGGTACATCAAGCGGTTGTGTCGTTGAAGGGTGCAGACCTGGCTAGAGCTTTGAAGGCCGAAGGAGATCCCTGGCAACCAACGTTCTCTGGGAAAGCCGAAGTTCGACAGGCAACAACCTACCAGGCACTGGGCGTGTTTGAGTGTGCACAAAGTCATCGAGTGTCAAGCTGGTTCTCGGCTTGTGCGGCTAGTATGACTGCCAGTCCAGACGCAGAGCAAGCATCTCATGTTATTCCATGCCCACGTGGGCACAGCCTGTGGACAAGCCAGGCACATGAACATTGTACTCCTGCCGGAGTGAACCCAGAATTTTGCGCGACTCGAATGGAAATGACCATGTCAAGCAGCGATGCCGACAGCAGATGGTGCGTGGCATGCAGCTTCAGCTCAGGTTTGCGCTTTCGCCTCCGCATCCGCGAGCATGTCCAAGCTGGAAAAAGCTCTTGCTGCCCCATGCTGCCCCAAGTCAGACGAATTCCGGAGCTTTCCAAGTGATGTGTAGGGACTCTTTCAACTCCATACGAAAACCCGGGGTTCTGACTTGGGCAGGTGGATGATGCACCCTCGGAACCTAGCAGCTCGTCGTGGCCGTCTCAGAGCTCCTGCAACACCTACCCGGCCCAGACTGACCGTGTTCAACGACTTAGTGATGGCTCAAGCTCAGTGAGGAGGCATCATATAGCTATGCCTCTCAAAGGCGGAGGCTACGTGATGGGTTCCTGAGCGGCTGATGTCCACCAGAGCCAAAGAACCAGAGCTGCAATCAGATCTTGAGCTGAAGTCACACTGTTGTCTCTAGTCACTCAAGTCTTGTTGACCGCCACCTGCTGAGAGTCTGTCGATGGATGATGTTGCCAAGAGCTCATGACGCACTGAGAAGATGCCACGGACTTCTGCCGCATGCCGCTGTATCTGGCTCTAAAGACACTCGTAGGATCTTGCCCCTGACATCTCTTTCAAGAAGAGACTGGGCTCTCCGAGTGAACCTATGGCGGAGCGTTGGCGAGACATTCTTCACCAGCTCAGCTCGGAACTCGAGCGACAGTCCACAAAATTGCGCGACCTCGAGCTCGAGAACGAGCGGCTCCGAGAAGGCACTGACTTAAGAGTACTACAAGTTAGTAGTACTTGGAGCTTCCTGGGTGCTTCTAAGTAGGGTTATAAGGTATAAGGTATGAGTAGCTATGGCTATATCCTGTCTTGGGGTGCTTGGAACCCTACTTAAAGGTACCCAGGAGCCTCCAAGTACTGTCTGAGTCAGTGTTGTGTGCAGGTTCAGTGCTCTTGAGGTACTTGTGTAGTGCACCATAACCGCGATGCTTCCCTGACAAGGTGAGGTTGCATCGCTTGCATCTCCAACTTCACCTATTTCTATTGCTCAAGCAGAGGCAGAAGATGCTTCGACAGGTGATACTACCAAGCAACAGGGAAATCGTAGTGAGTCGTCATACAGTGCCGCGTGCCAAATCTCCGAAGTGAAGCCGTGGGCGGAAGAGAATGAACCGAGTCGGCGACCCAAAGGCAGCAGCTCGACAGCCAGTTCATGTCAGCGTTACAGCATAGGCATGACATGGCAAAATCTAAAGGCATGTAAACGCCACGAGTTTCTCTATGGTCCATGTGAGCCTCAGGCAAAGAGGATACGAACCATCTGGAGCTTGACTCCACAGAGCCCGTGCGTGTTTGGGGCTCCATGCAGACCTTTGCGGCGAAAGATCCGGATGCCATCCTCAAGGCAAAGTTCGCACAATTGCGGACAACCCCGACCGCCAACTATGAGAGGAAGCCTTGGTACGTGATCAATCCGCAGAGGAGCAATCGGTTTGCCGCGTGGCAGGTGATCACCATGTGCGCTTTAGCCTTCGTGGTAATCGTTGTCCCCTACCAGGTGGGCCTCCTGGAGCTTGTGGAGTGGGATCTCTTGCTCACTCTGAGTACCCTAGTAGACTTCATTTTTCTTTGCGACGTGGTCTTGCAGTTTGTCACAATGTATCCTCGCACAACCCCGCGGGGGACTGTGTGGGAGCAGAAAGTAAGCAGAATTGCCACGCACTACCTGAAGACGTGGTTTACGCTCGACTTCCTGACCTTGATTCCTTTCGACATCTTTGAGTTGACATTCCAGGCGGACGATGTGGGATTGGGCAAGGCCAGCAAAGCCGTTCGTGCTCTAAGGCTGTTGAAGCTGATGCGCATTCTCAAAACGTCGCGTTGGCTCCACAAGATTGAGATTGCCATTTCCATCCCCTACCAGCAGTTTGCATTGTTCCGCTTCTTGCTCATCTTGTGCATGGTCTGCCATTGGCTGGCCTGTATATGGGCTATGACATTGCAACTCGGTGAAACAGACAAGCCACAGTGGATCAATGACATCGAGAAAATAGACCAGGAGTTTGGCATCGACACCCGATCCGATCCCATGCGCACGTACATCAGCTCCCTGTACTTCTGCACCTACACGATGACCTCCGTCGGCTATGGTGACATTGGTCCAAAGAGACTTGGCAGAAACATACTTTGATCTGCCAGTTGTGCTTTTTGTGCTTGTGCTTTTCTCCAACAGCTGACCTTTGCGTGCCCAAGGAACATCATTGAGCGCTGCGTGTGTACGCTTATTGTCCTCACAGCGGGATTGTGCTGGGCCTACGTACTTGGCGAAGTCTGTGCCATTGTGAGTGAAGCTTGGAACGAGCTTGGCTAGGCGTAATCCCCAAAAACTAGTGTCATGCTGCCGACATCGGTACACTAGGAGTGCATGCCCGAGAGCCTGCGTACCTCTGTGCTTCCTAACCCTAAACCCTAAACCCTAAACCCTGCCTTAATACGCACTGCTCTTGTTACTTCACCGCGCAAGGACATGAATGCTGAAAGCCAGGGCTTCCGGAAGAAGATGACGGAGCTCAATCGGATGATGAAAGAGCAAGGCTTCCAGGTCGCATATTTAATTCACTTATAATGTGTTTATTAAAAAGGGTTTAGGGTTTAGGGTTTAGGGTCTAGCGTTTAGGCAGGTTGTTTGTTGCAAAAAAGTCACCCTGCAGATGGCCTGGGGGTGCACAGGATAAGTGCGAGATGTGCCCTTTTTTTTGGGGGGGGGGGGGGGGCGCGGGGGGGAAGGGGGGGGGGGAAGGGTTACAGGGGGTTCGGATTGACTCCGGCGCATGTCATGAGAGAAGCTAAGGCTTGCCATATGAACTGCGCTGCCGCATGAGGACAACTGCTCGTGTGCCCCAACGTCTCGGAATGCATGTGCTCGTGTGCCGTAAGACTTGTAAGAGAAAGAGCTGAGCGTCTGAAAGAGTGCCTTCAAATCCACCCCTCACGATGCGTCGGAGGAGCTTCTTCTTACAGAATCGTCACCAGGCCCTCTATATCACCCGCCAGAGGTTGAGGGAGGCTATGAGTCCGCAGCTGCAGTCGGAGATTAGCACTGCGGTCAACCTTCCCTGGATCTCAAAGGTGCCCTTCCTGGAGCAGTTCATGGACTACATCGATCGGCAGGGCTCAGAAGGAAAAGACATTGACCCCTTCAGGGCATGCATTGCCGACGTTTCCCGAGAGCTGTCTTGTGGCGCGTTTGCCCAGGGTGAGAAGTTCGACAACATGCAGGTGTTGTACATCGTCTCCAAGGGCATTGTTGCGCTGAACAACCGGGTTGGCACCAACGGGGCTGTGTGGGGTGAGGACTTCGTCCTGTCTGATATGAGCCTCATCCGAAACATCAGAGGCTGTGCCCTGACCTACCTCGAGGTTCTCTTCTTGACTCGTGACAAGTTCATGAAGGTGGTGGAGAGGAGGACGCGCACATGTCCAGAGCTTGGCGTTATTGTCAGGCAGTTCACCGTGCGCCTCGCGGTTAGAAGAGGTTTCGTTGCAGCCGCCAAGAAGAAGCAAGAGGAATGGGAAGCGAAGCAACTAGCCATGACGAAGACTTTCTCCTTGAGGTCCAGAGGATCTGCTCAGTATGCTCCGCTACCACCAGAAATTCCGGACACCAAGGTCATCCAGCCAAATGGCAGTTTGCCCGGCTCACTTGATGATTGATGGAGCAGAATGAGTAGAAGGCAGGTGTAGAAGGGGATTGGTACACTAGCGTGCTAATACCGGTTTCACCAGCGTATGCACCCAGATCGGATGATCCCCGGGCGCTGCACGTAGAATGCATGATACTTGATGATCCAAGTGCTTATGCACCATAGTCTTACTTGCACCCCGAGCAAGGTCAATTAGCCCTTGCCTTACGCACTTGTGTAGATTTGCACTGACATTTCTTGATCGAAGAACCCCGACATAGCGAATTTCGTGCAAAAAAAGCGACCTGTCGGAAGGGAGGTGGTTCTGTCATGGCTGCCTGCACGTCCAATGTCCAAGCTGCGTGAAAACTCATCATCTAAGAATGCGATTGCCAAACTGGGGCGCGACTGGCGAGAGAGGATGCCTGGCAGCATGTGTCATGAACAAGTTTCGAGATGCTCATTTAAAATGACGCCCTCAGACTCCGTGGTCGTTGCCAGGTGCATGTGCGTGCGAAGCATGCTGCACATGCTGGGAGTTCTTTTACGAGGTGGAGAATCTCGATGTGATGTTAGGGGACATCCGCGTCGCCAAGTGCAGCGCAAGGCAAGTGCAGCGCAAGGGCTGTGAATCCATCGCCGATCGAGGGCCTGACACTTGCAGCTTCCCTTGCACGACCTGGCAAACGGGCAGAACGAGCAGGGATGCGGAGTTGTTGCTTCCAGATCGCCTGCAACAAAACAAGTAGCACATCTCGGCGTGGTGCACGAAGAGACACAGAAAACCCGGGTGCAGTGGTGGTGAGCAGATTTCCCTCTGAGGTGCATCGCCTTGAGCGCAATGAATGACGCAATGAGAGTGCAGAATAAACTGGAGGAGCTGATGAAAGAGATTGAAAGAGGAAGGCAACGCAGTGAAAAGGCAGTGCTAGATCGTTGTTGTGTGGGAGCTTCAGTTCTTTCTTTCCGACCATCGCCAACTTGGACACGCTTATGCAGTGAGAAAACACAGGTTCGACAATCTGAACGTCGTGGAGCTCGCTAATTACACCTCATCATTCCAGACATGCCGAGTGAACTCCAGAGTTTTGAAAGAGTAAGCCTGCCATAGGCACATAATAGTGCTGAGAGGCATCAAGGCTTGTCAACGGGGACGGGGATCAGCATCCAGGAACTTCAAGGAACTTTGCGTCTCCCATTTTCCCAAGGTCGGACAGCAAGGCGCGGCGCCCTGCCAGCCCTGCGAAAAGCATTGCGGAAAGCCTGCACCTCAACCAAAGCCCGAGGGTGACGTCGTCCTAGTTGCGTGTCGTGCTTTGTTCACGTTGCTACCCCTTTAGACGTTGGATTAAGTGACGTACGGATGCCCTGCAGTCTTGTTGTGCTCTGCGCGTGATTGCTCAGGTGCTCCGCGAAGTGTTGCGGAGAGTCCGCCCAGGCCAGTGACGAAGACTGCCTGACCAGTGGTGAATTGCATGGTGCTCGCGATATCATGGATAAAGGCTAGTGATGTAACACACACACACAGACTCAGTGACAGACACACGCGTGCACACGCCCTTGCACATACGCACGCGCACAACAAACAACACACAACACACAACAAGCAATACACAACACAAGCACAGAACACACAACACAGAACACGCACCGCACACCGCGCAACGCACAACACACAATACACACAGGCTACACACATCAGCATGTATGTATGTGTGTGGGTTTTGAGTTTTGAGCAGGAGCATTCCTGGCAGCTCCCCGCGGAGTGTTGCGGAGAGTCACGCCGAGAGCATCGAGGATGAGTGCCACTCTCAAAACGACCATGCTTCAATTATCCTCCAACCTACGCCTCCAGCCCCCTACGCTAAACCCTTAAAAACCCTGGGAAAGTGCAGAGAGATGTACAGAGAGACAACGACTTTGTCTCTGCGGAGTCGCGCGAGAGCGAGGGCAGTGCGGGTGGCAAAGCAACCCTCAACCCTAAACCCTAAACCCTCAACACGGCCGATTTGCTCAGGCCACAGGGCATAGTGGATCTCTCCGAGTCCGAGGGGGCCGAAGAGGCGGAGACTTGTTTCGCTTTGCACAGTGAACTTGGAGTTCTTGCGGTTTGGGGTTTAGGGTTAGGGTTTAGGGAATGGAGGTACAGCTAGAGAGTGAGAAGGTCCGCCGCGCCCTCAGAATTTCTGGTGCTAGCACGTGCTAGTCAGAAACTCCATGCAGAAGGTGCTGCTGGTTTCTGAGGTGGCGAACTCGCAGAAGCTCGCGCACGCATCTTTCACAGCTCTCGGTGACCAGTTTCACCTTTACAGTGGAGGTCTCTTTGTAACTGAAAGAGACAGACCTACCCCGCTTCATGTCAACTCTTCTTTGCTGAAGGAGACCAGCACAAAGAGCTCTCATGATGCTCTACCCCTGCCCTCTCCGTTTCATTGATAATGACTACACTGCTCAGTCTTTGCGCGGCCGCATGCGCTGGGGCGTTGCAAACTGAAGATTCGGCACCGCATGGCATGAACATGAGGCTTGCCAGACGGTTGCGCAACGTGCCTTTTTGTCAGCTAGACTCACGTTAATGATGCCATGGCTCGAAACCAAGACCTGTCTCACCCAGCATGCACACGCAACCAATGAAACACTGTAAGTGTCATGTTGAGCCCGGCATCAAGATGATCTTCACGCAGTGTGGCACAGAGTTCGGGATGATTGTAGAAGTCGGTATGGGAGTACGAGCAAGGGTTTCTGAAGATTAAAATGCTTCTTTGCAGTGCGAAGTAGCCTCGAGCCAAATGCCCGCCAAGTCCAAGTCAAAGTCGCCGAAGCGATCGCTTAAGAAGAGCCTGTGTTTCGGTTGCAGACTGATTGAGTCGGGCGACTGGCATGCAACAACGGCATGCTTGCAATTTCTGCTAAGGAGTAAAAGCTCTTTGGCTGGGGCCCTGGCGTTCATCATGGGTTCGTGGTGGGATGGGTGAGTCCATCTGGAGATTCTTCCCGACCTTTTTGAGGCAAGCTCTTTGTCCGTCTATTCTGGTGAGGATGATGAGCTCACGGTCAAGGAGCCGGGTCCATACGTCCACACGCTGCTGATTCTGCCGCTGTGCCAGGAACGTGGTTCGTCTTTAGAGAGAACACGGAAGCCAGATCGGGCCCAGAGATGGCAGGAGGCCCTTTCTTCCATCTCATGCCCAGGGTTGCGCAGGCAGTAGCAGCTACGTGATGTGCACAGTCCATGCGACTGTTGCCAGGCACCACAGGTCACGTCCAAGCCTTGGAAGAGAGAAGGCTACGCAGCTGGTGTATTCAGCATCATTCCTCGCTGCCACTTTCAGAAATCTAAGGTACATACAGTACAACGGCCCCCGGCCGGATGAGGAGTTTCTTCAGGTCTGGCCTTGCAGAGCAGAGGGCCATGTCGGCATGGCTTTGGCCCTCGGGCCCTTGAGGCAGTCCGTGTCGAAATGGAGGAGGGCGCTCAGTCCATGAGGCGTGCGCAGGAGTCCATCCCATGTGCTGGGGGCCGAGGAAGCATGTCCAGGGATCCTCAATAAGGCCAGAGCCAGTCTTGCTGGACGCACTGCTTTCTGCAGTGTGAAGAGGAAGAGCACCATCTAGACGAGCTCGCCCCCCGAGCAGCTTTAGCCTTCCTTCCCCGCCCCCAGGTAGGCTCAGGCTTCTGAGATGTTGATTTGGAGCATCGTTAGACCGATGCATTGGATGCCCTGAAGTTGTTGGACATTTCTAGGGTCTTCTGACATGTTGGATCAGCCAGGTCATGTTATTCTGAATGAAATGGCACGCAGAAAGATAGCATCCAGACTTGCCATTGGCAACAGGACCCTGCTGAGGCCCTACTTTTTCCCCACTTTCACACAGTCATGCATTCATTGCAGCTCTGAGGTATATGGACTGCGGCTGGCGGGCAAGGCAACCCACCCCCAGCGCGCAGTGGTGAAAGGTCGAGAAGCGGTGGAAGTAGGTTTTTGGGGGCCCTGATGTTCGGAAACTTTGCTTTGATCCTGGGCTGCAGCTATGCAAGCTGTCTACGAGTTTACGAAAACTTTGTCAGGGCCGCCGGCTCCAGAAAGAAGACCCCGTTGCGCTAGAGCGCCTCGTGGCCGTGGACAGCCTCATGGGCTTGAGGGTTGAGGGTTACCGGGGTTTACAGCATTTTACAGCACTGGTTTACAGCTGACCAGTATAGGGCTTTCTGACATGAGATAAGGGCTACGAATGTGGCGGAAGATTTTAAACTTGAGCAGGGGGCCCCTCCCGCATGTCTCCAGGATGTGAACCAGCGAAGCATTGATGGCAACCACCTGAGTGATGCTACGGTCGTTACGTTGTTGAAAAGAAGTTCTGTAGCTTCTCGGCCTTTCCGATGCCATGTCCCAGGATACACATCGCTGCTTGTGGCCACTGCAGCAGGCGGGGCATTGAGAAGTGCTTTGAGTGTGGCACAGTGAAAGCTACCAGCAGCTGCCCAATTGTTCGCGCATCGTACTCATTTGTGACGTTCCTTACGAGGCAATGCCGAGATGGTGGCTTTATTGCTGGAGGCTCGTGGCCACAAGCGGCGAGAAGCGCGGTTGAAGCAACCTCGACGTAATGCCCTGGCAGTCTCGAGCAGATGTCTCACTCTCCACTGTTTGCAGCCAAGCCGTCTTTTATTTCGTTCGTAATTCAACCTCTCGGCCAGCAGCGCTGGGCAGAAGTCCACATCTTCTTAGGTGCACCGCTCGGAGATGCCTATCCATTTTGCCGCGCAGGACTCGACAAGTGCCGCGAGTGCTTCCTTCAGCTTGTGGCAGCGAATGGCTTGCTGTGCGAGTGTGACAGGGGGGCTACGACATTGTCTTGCGATTGCTCGCCGGGCACCTATGACGAAGACAGCCTTGATGAACTGTTTTGTGAAGGCCCATCCCCCGACCCTGAAGCATCCTTCGAAACAAGCACAGCTCATGCCATATTTCCATTTCTGTATATTAGGTAGAATTATTGTGTGTATATGTATATGTATGTATATTCATATGTATATTTATATTTATATCTTTATTTATTTTATATTTATTTATTAATTTATACTCATATGTCTGCACGGCCATGTGTAAAAACATACACATACATACATACACACATACATACGTGCACATATATATATATATATATACATGTACGTATGTACGTATTGCAGCACCTCGCCACAGCCTGTTCCTTTTTTGGGGTGCTAGAACCGACCCTGGGGCGGCCCTCTGTGACAGTTTCGGAACAGTCTCATAAAACCAACTTCTCAACATACCAAGGCCTACAGCATCCTGCATATTGCGGTCTTGTTCGCTTGTTTGTTTTTTGTTCAGGATTGCAAACGCAGGCAAGGCCGCTTGAGGAGTTGTATGGTGGTGTCTTCCTCCTGATGATGTCAGTGGCTATGGTAGACCACATGCGGCTACAGCATCCATGCAAGTCGCAGTCAGGTCTTCCAGTCTCTAAAGGCGAGCTCAGTCTTTGGTAAAGCCACTGGCAGTCACTGTCAGGCTTGTGTCTCACAGCCCACCAAGGCCGAAACGGTTGTGAAGCCAGAAAAGCGGAAATTGAGTATAAGCAAGAACAAGTCAACCCCTAAGTCACGTGTGTTTAGGCAGTCGCCTGCCAGCGTGAACATCGAACACCTGCGAAACTTTCCGACCAAGGGTTGAGTTGGGCCAGAGCCAAGCGCACTGCTTACTTATAAAAGAATCACCACGATGCTTCGTGATAAACAAAGTACACTAACTCGCTGCGAAGAACCCGTCAGAAAGGTGTTGGACAACCCCGTTGTGCGACTATTCGTTTCTGAACACTGAAGATGAACGCACGCTTAGTGCTTTGGTGAAGTCGATCTCCTGGCTCAGGTCGAACCCACAAAGGCGAGAGGCTCGCAGCTCTGCCAGAACGTCAAAATTGTTGTTGACTCATTCTCAGCATGCTGAGTTGATGGACGAGCAACCTAAGTCAGGCTTCGCAAATCTCAAGGGAATGCAAATAATATCAAGCAAGCAGGCCTTCTGGATGTTGGCACGGTCACGGGCTGGAATGCACTACATCTGGCAGTGGCGGGACAGCACCAGGGCGCAGGGACCTAAAATGACCTGCAGGAAAGAGGTTCGCATGATATGGATTGACATGGGCGGCAGACTGCGTGAACGGATCGGATGGAAGTTGCGTATGCCAACGCACAGCCATGTCGGCTCACCTTGCTAATATGCTTACTGCCGCCAGCCCCCCTCGCTGGTTCTCGAAACGCTGCTCGACTTCAGTATGCCAGGGAGGTGAGTTGAACCTGCAATGCAGCAACCGGAACATGGCCACATCTTACCCCTCCAGCTGCTCAACCTTGCTCGCTTTGTCGAGGCACCTGGCCTCCCGTTGACTCTCATGCGCGGGTATGGCCAGGGATTCATCTCCTGGTGCTCCTGCTCCTGACGGGGCCAGCCCACTGCGCACCTTTGGACCAATGCTGGGAAGCCCAGCTCGCTTGTAAAACTCCTCGAGTTTATGAGAAGCAAGAATCAAGTCTAGGCAGCTTTGGCCCTGGGTTGGCCATACCTCCATCTTCCCGAAGGTTTTAAGGCTCTCAGGGCTCTGAAGTTCCGATCAGTAATATCACACCACCGCACATCAGGCAAGCCTAGTAACAAACCGAACCTAGGCCGGACCTTGGAAGAATATGCCTTTGGCCTCTTATCTCGCTTAGAAGTATCTTCAGCAAGGGCAACCATTAAGCTCACCTAGAACAGATCCCTTTTAGTAGTTTGTGCGGCGCTCTAGGCCGCCGGGGATGTTAGATCCCATGTCTGTGTGCAAAGCAAGGTGTACCTGGCGGGCTTACTAGAAGTCAAGCAGCCTGATATCAGAGTACTTGCCGCTGACTTGGGCAATATGTACAGTTCAGCCAGACGAAACGACTAGCTAACTTCGACGGTCACCATTCCACCTAAAACCGGGTTCGCCCCGTTTTATTCCCCGAGAACAAGGAAGGAGATGGGAGGAGGATGAGAGATAGAGAGAAAAGCCTACCCTCAAGCCCGGGAGAGAGCGGTGGGCTTGTACCGTTCAGACCCAAAGCACCCAAATACTCAAGTCCAAGTCTCAGGGTTTTTGTCACACTTTGTCACTCAGGCGAGACACGCCCACTTGCCAGGCCTTGGAGCAAGTGTTGTCAGCGAAGAGAGTGCTTTAGGACAGTCGAAACATAGCGTACCAAGTGAGCAGCATGCTTTACGTATCTGTACATCGTAATGTTGGTGCTATTGAACGGGCTCTTGCAGGCTTGAGAGCTCGGTGCACAAATGTGCGACCGACCATGCGGCTGCACCAAGTCTTGGGCGTCAGCTGATGCAAGTGAAATTGAATAGCACGACCAACGCAGCTCAGCTGCGACAGGTTGAATTCCGCTCGTATATAAGATATGAGTGTCGTGCATGTCTCAGCAGTGAGAGAGTAGTGAGGGTGGGTGTGTGAGAGGAGCGGGGACATGGAGGAGAGCAGCGTTGTCCGACGCAGGCATGGGAGTCATGAGAGCATCCACCTGAGGCCAGTAAGCAAGTTCAGATGGTGAAGCCTCTGGGCTGGCGGGCCATCCGCCACTTTCCAGCCATGCATGTGCGCCAACATAGCCGCTGCACCGAAATCGGTCGGCATTTTCCAGAGCTGGTGTCGAGTTTTCTGGCTGCACTCAAAGGACTCGCATAGGCCCAGGGTCGCGGACCTCACAGGAGAAACATGTGACTCGCTGCTCTGAGGAAGCGAGGACGTGTTGAACACCTACGAGGAATATGCGTGCGGAAAGGCTGCTGATACTTTCATCGTGAACCCGGTGACAGCCCTCACTGCAGAGCTGACAGAACTGAACACCGGATGCATCAACGCGCCGCTTGGTTTGCAGGCGGCAGAATTTCTTTCTGGCTCTTCAGCTTTCATCTGGCAGTGTCTAGTGCCCTGTGACCTCCCACCTTTGCCCGCTGAAGTTGCTCAGAGTGACTCAAATGTGAAGGAATCCTTGGCCGAAGTTCCGCCTTGCCGCGAATGCGACGCATGCAGAACACCTCTATAGGCGTGAGGGAAGGGCGCAAAGAGACGGAAGCTTTTGAACTACTGCCTTGGAGCCATCCGATGAACATCGATTCAGGTGGTGTGACGGGGCCTGCCCTGAAGCCGAAGATTGGCATCAGCTCAGCACTCTCGAGGTTGATGGAGATTTGCGGCCTGTCCAACTGGCTTGTGGTTCACAAGAGATGTCTTTCACCAGAGACGGGCTTGAAGAACTGCCTGAAAGCGCCTTCCAACCTTCCAGCTTAATAGCTGCAATATCCCAAAGACACAAGCTAAGGCCAAGGGTGAGGGATCCGAAAAACCCCCACAAAGATCATCCCCACAGCTAGCCGACGTGGGACTCGTCCTGCCGCGGTGGGCACTCCAGGGAAGCTTGGCGGGGGGCGCTCCGGGGACCAGGTCAGGAGAGCGGGTGGGACACCGATGAATGGCAAGGAGAGTGGTGGACTTAGTGGGGAAGGACCGTCAACAGAATCAAGCAAAAGGTCTGTGAAGTCACGACAGGGCAGCTTGTGGCCTCGGCTTCAAGATGGGAGGAGAAAAAAAGGAATCTTGATGTTGATGTTGGCAGAGTCCCACGGTAGTGCTGGCTGCAAGACAAGAGCGCGCATCCCCGAAATGATTCTTGCGATGGCCATCGAACTATGGAGAGGTGTGCCTCAAGTCTTCGCCCACACGAGACATTACATTGCGCGGTCTGAGTGGCAATCTGAGGCTTGTGATTCCCAGCATGCGATATGCTCCAAAGCACCTGAGCTTTAAGGAGCTACCGAAAGGATCAGCATACCAGAGCCAAGCTCAACAACAGATGCTCTCCCGAGATCCTCCTTACCAAGGATGGTGTATCAGCATTCATTGATGGACTTGATACCGCAAGCATGGACAGCCATGGACTTCCTCAAAAACTCCAGTGTGAAGCTTGGAAGCACGAAACGGAGTGCCCCCCCCCCCCGCATTCCCCCCCCTATTCCCCCCCCTATTCCCCCCCCCCCTCCCTAACCCCCCCCCCCCCTTCCCACACTTTCATACAAAGGACGCAATGCCATCTGAGGAAGCTCTTGACTCACCATTCAACGCAGACCCATCTGCTGGAGAGCATGGGAGTTGAGAGGGCCCTTTGCTCCCAAAACTTTGTGAGTTGGGACATGGCAGCTGATGAGAAGCAAGAGCACATGTTGTTCTTTAGCTTTTTACTGAATTCCTTGGGCAGCAAAGCTAGGCCAACATATTGGAGATTCCTTTCCCTGATCACAATGAGTCCAGCGGTTTCTTGATATGTGTGGCCCCGGGCCACACTCTGCATCTCTGGCGCCTCTCCGACAATGGGCACCCTTTGCCGACCTTCTCGTATGGAGACCGTGCCCTGGTCAGCAAACCTCCAAGGGCAGAAGCTGTCGGCGGTTGGGTTGGGGAGCCAAGACACCTTCAGCCAAGCCTAGGCAGACCTGATGCAGATCTTTGGCATCGGATGATCAATTTTCAGGCAGGGCGACTAGTTTATCTGGTTAGTTCTCAATCTGCTGCTTTTCTGCTCCGCTGCAATATGCTAGCCAAATTGTGTGTGCAAAGCGGGACAACATGATGCAACATGCAGGTTGGTCATGAGCTTTCGGACGCGATCGCAAAGCGGGCCGGCCTGGAGGAGGGAAAAGCAAGCAAACCCAAACCCCAAAGGGGTTTGAAGACTGCAGAGTAACGAAGATTCATTGTCTGGCGATGATCTTGTCAAGCGGTGGTCATGACTGTTCCTGTGCGACCGACGCTCTATCACAGGACACAGTGAACATGCCGGCGAGGGTTCTGTTCATGCAGCGCTGTAGTGAACGACGTCCAATCATCAACGAGCAAGCAGCCCTGGCGCTAACGAGCCAAGTGTCCCACCTGCATTTTGACTTTCCTGAGTACTACAGCCTCGGTAATCAACAGTCCGTACGGCTCTCTGGGACTAGGGGGGCTTGGCAGATGACCTCCTGGCGATGTGGTGCATCGTCACTGCAATTTCATGACGCCCACGTCTGTACCTCAGGTGCTACTAACCTCCAATCGCTCCGAAGAGCTGCTGTCCACCTGCTCAGGCCGAAAAAAACAATGCTCTCAGGGCATAACTATGCTTTTAAAGCCCTACTGTGGAGCATGAGGGAGGGGGCCTTGCACTTGCACAGCAGCGGCAGGTCGGATGAGTATCTTAGACCAGGTGCGTGAGGCATCTTCTGAAGCTGCGATGCGAAGCAGATGTTGTAGTGGGGTCGATGAGCTGGGTGTTATTTTGCCGCCGTGCGATCTGAGCTGGAGCCCTACAGGCAAGATCGGCACGCCTTATCGTAGGGGAACATGGAGGCGCACTGGCCAACACACTCTACCTTCAGCCAGGTGCAGGCAGGGCGCAGGCTATTGAAAGGTTGCACTGATGCCTTGGGAGCATCACTTCGCTTGAACAGATGTCCGGGTTACTTGTTGTCACTGTGTCATCTCAGAGTCATCTCAGTGTTGCAGAGCTATACTCTTGGATACAACAGGCGTGATTGAGTTCGTTGGCAGCGCCGAGTCTCATGTCGGACTTGAAGGAGCTTGAAAGCCAGCCACCCTTCGTGTTTGCAAGCATGTCTGGCTCGGCCCCATCATCTGCCAGGATACTGGCCACCGTACAAGAGCCTCATGCCTGCAGACATGCATAGGGAGTTGGGAGCGGCACAACTGCTGATCAGGCATCTGTGGGCACCGTTCCACGATGGAGTTGGCTTGGCTCATGCTCCCATAGTTCTCTTGCTGCTCTGTGAGGTTTTTGGTATGGTGGGTCTGGGGCCTCTTTGCAATTCTACCGGGCAGCTCAGCTCGGTTTACTGTGCTTCAACCTAAAACCTCCAAAACGGGTTAAACATCTCGCACATCCGAGCTGCGAGCTTCAAGGTTGTTCTTTACGAGCCGGATGCTGCTGGCACATGGAATATTCGCTTGGATGACCTGGAGGAAGCTATTGGCCAGTGGATGGTGCAGGAACCGCCCCGACAGAATCTTGGTGCATAGTCTCCAGTTTGTTAGATGCCTGGACTCGATAACTTTGGATGCACCAGCGTCTCGTTTAGGAGCACCGTTGTGCACTTGGGGGAAATACGGGCACTCTAACCCTGGCCAAGAGCGGTCTGCGAACCGGAATCACCAATGTCGGTACACGATATATGGGGCTGGGTTTGCCAACCTGGACTTTCATTTGTCTGCCATTTTGCACACCCGCATAACCGCCGGAGGTCAGCCAGCTGAAAATGAGAGCAAGCACTGCGCCCGTACTGCGGTAGTTGTGCTACGATGGCAACGACACGACGCCAAGAGCCATGGACCTTGAAAATGATCGTGCGTGCACCGCCTTGTCCTGGAGCAGCCAAGTGCAGAGACATCAAGGTACACACGCACATGCCCTTCGTAGGCGCCACAACATTTCGCTACTCGGCTACCGCTCTCTCTCTCTCTCCTTTGCATAAGGCCATGAACCTGCTGCTCAGGCTCTGGGGGTCAGTGCATGTGGCATGACGTGGTAACTCTGTTACTTTGGTACGTGCTTGATAGCATATTGTAGTACATCATAGTACTATAAGTGCGACGTAAGTTTCGCGCATGGTTGTTATACAGTGTGATGTCAATCACCCGAAGGTCCGGAGCAAACATCAACTCCCGGAATGGATCGCTGGGAGGCTAGAAGCGAAAGGGCCACTTGCAGTGTTCCGCTCTGATGGGCGCAGGTGGTACAGCGTTGCACGTTGCGCCTTTGACTTAGACTCCAATACAAAGTCTGGGTCGGCGGAGCCAGCATCAGTGCACTGAGGTCACGCATGGCATGGATGGAGGGAATGGAGGCTCTGTTGGATCGTGATGCCAGTGGCCTAGCATCGCTCCTCATGGAACAGGTCGAGAACTCACATGGCAATTGAGACACAACACAGGCTGACCCAAATGCCACGGACCGTGTGCAGCAAGCCCCTTTGCATGGCGCAGCACGCAGGGCAACGAGCTCAGATCAGAACAAACATGCAAGAAGATCGTCTGTCTACAGAGCCAAAGTATAGCGAAACAAAGCGAAACTCATCTCGTGTGTTGAGGGTGACGCTCGAGCGGTGTCGCTCCTGCTGCGCAACCGAGCCAACGTCAATGCACCAGGCTGGACTGCTGTCCTCTGGAAGAAATCGCGTACATGGTGCTGAAAATTTGCTACAGTAAGTTGCCTGAGGAAGCAGCCTTTAGGCCGTTCACATGTTCATGGCTGTCGTTCTTGCGGCAACCGTGCTTGCTGCATATGATGCATCGAGTCAAAAATTGTGCGTTGTTCGGCGTTGTTCGCTGTAAGGCTAGCACGTCACCCAATGCCACACACGCAGGTCCAGACAACAAAAGAGCTGTGGACATTGCAGTGGCCCCAGTTTTAGGTCCTGATTGCCGATGTAGAGAGGGAAGCCGGAGTGCTGCAGGTCCCTTGGGATCATCCAAGCTCATGGCTCAGAGCACGGGAAGTGACATCTGTGGCTTTGAACACCGACACCTGTACTTCGCTGAGATCGGGAGAAAGTCACGCTCATGCTGCAAGCCTACTCCCGGCCTCCACCAGCACAAACGCGTAGCGTGTGCTCCCTATTGCTTGGTGAAGTTGGTGCCATCTTGCGTTGGCTGGAGATGCCAACATGTATGTCGCAACCTAGGATGGCAACTTCCACCTCTAGAACCAGCCCCGCTATGCGGGACATGATCTCAACCCGCGATGGGTTGCAGAATTCGCGCACCAGTTGTAGTTGTAGGGCTCAATTGCCTAAGGCAAGATCTCCTGTGGCTGTCGAAGGGCGGTTCTGGGGAACGCATGCCGCATGCTGGCACATGTTCACATCTCTCTACATACAATTCATTGTTAGTAGCAAGATACTGCCGGTCTCAAGTGGGCAGAACCTCCACACAGCAGCTGCAGGGATGAGTCGCGTTGTACCATGTAAAAGGCGCCCCTTTTGCGCAGCGTTCTGCGGGGCCACTCCAGAGTTCTGCCTTCGCCCTAAAACCCTAAACCCTGGACCCTATTCGTCCTGGGCCAATGTGTCCTCCAGAGTTGAACCAACCGGAGCCTTGCCTGCTTGTGCTAGTTTGAGAGTCGAAACCCTGGACCTTAAACCCTAAACCATCCCCGTTGTGGTATGTGCGGTATGAGTTGCTCGCCCTGAAGCGTTTCCTCTCGAGAGAGCAGCTCGCCTCAGTGCTTTGCAAGGCACAGGCCTGTCTATGCTGTTGCAACAACCGGTCCTCTCTCAGGAACTCTTTCCGGTTTTTTGTGCTTCTGGGTGGGTCGCTTGGGGAAAGCAGAAGCTGTGCGACGTAGCGACGTTCTTAACAAACGGTCGAGGCATCTGCTCTCCATGGCCTGGCGAGGGTTAGGCCGGCAGATGGTGAGGGGAGGCTTCTGTTGCAGGATTTGGTGGTAGGGGTTGCGCTTCTGTGGCTTGGTGAGGTGAGGGGCAGCGACAGGTGTCCCGGATGGCACACGACAGCCATCAGAATGGTCAGCCTACGAACACTGGGATGGCTGGGGGATAGAAGTGAGAGGAAGCCACAGACGCAGGACGAAGTCAGAGACAGTGCCCGAACCACAACCGCTTTTAAGCAGCGCCCTCTCAGAGCCCCAATCTAACACAGACTCTGGCAAAAGGAGGAGGAGAAGAAGCTCTTATTCTCTTTGTCCAGCTCTCTCTGTCTGTCTGCCTCTTGCTCTCTCAAGTCAAGCATGTGAGTACATAATCTTGCGACGTGTTCCGCAGCTTGTAAGAAGACTGATCGCCTCACCTTGGGCCTCTGGTGAGCCCTAAACCCAAAAACCCTAAACCCTAAACTAAATACGCCAGTGTGAGAGTCGAAACCCCCCTAAACCTTTGGATCGCAGCATTCGGCAGGTCGATCCCTTTTTCTTTCGTCCTTTCTATGGCAGGAGATGTCCGACTTTGAGCCGGTCACACCCGGGTCAGCATTCCAGGCCCATCTAGGATCCGGCATTTAGGGTGTTGTTAAACCCTAAACGGGTTTTTAAACGTCTAAAAACCCTGAATGCAGTCGACTGAAGGCTTAGTCTGTGAGCTGAGGCGGACTGGGCCAAGTGGCAGAAGCAGCTTCGCGAATGGCGCCAAGCGTACGATGATGCTCGGTGAGTCTGGGTGATGCACCGACACAGCCACAAACAGGGCTGCCAGTATTGAGTTATCTTTGAGGAGTGGCGACAAGTGCTGCAGCAGCTTCAGGAGTGGGATGAGAAGGCCAGAAATGGTAGTGCAATATGTATAGAGCAGTTTCGACCAATCGCAACAGAGCAGAGTTGTTTTGTTGGCACAGTTTGATGGCTTCTTATGTGAAGATCAGGAGAGCAAAGGAATCCAGCTGCCATCCATCGACCCCAACCTTGACGTCCTTGCGGTGGAAAACATCCTGGATATCGGCGAAGGCGAGCCTCTCTTCGGGAACTTTGAGTACGAGGCTCGTAGCCACTGACCCCGACACCCCGTTATTGGGGGAAGAATGCCTTCACCGGAAGAGTTCTTGAAACCTCCCCCAAATTGCTTCCGTGGACATACAGTACCCTCTGAAACGCTCCCTCAATGCAACCCTGAGATGCAGTGCAAGGCGGCTAGGCAGGTGGCAACTCCAAGAACGCCCCTCCTGAATTTCAAGAAGCTGTTTCTTTCGTTCTCACCACGCTTACGGCATTCTTGTGATTGGGGATGAGGCTTTTAGTAAGTGTAGGGTAGAGGATCTAATCTGGGGTTGAGGGTAAGAGGCTTCAGCAGCTTCATGTTTCGGCTTATTGCTCGTACAGGCCCAGTTGGCTTGCTGTGCAGCACATCGAGAACTTAAGCAAGCTTAGGGTCTAGCACGTGCTGAAACGCTGTTGCACCACCTCTCAAATAGACTCTCAAACACGAACGAGAGCGATTAAGGATGCGATCAGTGCCAACAAACACTCCTGAGTTTTAGAGAGTTGCGGCCCCACGTGCACAGCCACGGCCCCTTCACACAGCTCCAGGACTGGCTTCTCCTCAGCACCAGGGTGGGGCCTGCAGTGGTTTCCCAGTCTTGCCGCAGTGCGCCTGCTGAGAGTATGGAGATGCCAGAATATGGCAGGTGGAGCTCCACCTGCTGGTTCATCACTTCCGGGACGACACTGGCGGCGCGGTCTTGGACGAGCAGCTTCGGCAGTTAAACAGCTCGGGAGTTGGCAATGATCGGTTTGGGCACGACTCAGTTTGACACGCCCAGAGCCGCGCGTGCGCGCGTGCGGTGTGCTGCAGAAGAGGGCACGTATATTACGGCGTATATCGAAACATGAAGCGGCTGGTAAGGTCCAACCTGGCCCATTACTACAAATGCTACTTCAAGAAAAGCTTTAAGCCGGAAGACTTTGCTGTTCGGCCCTCGGCAAAAGAGCCCAGCTTCCGACGCTCCCTCGACCGCGCTATGCCTTGTTTGTATCCGCTTGAGCGGTTGAATGAAGCCGTGCTTCTGGCTCAAGTATCCGACCAGCCTGGGTGGTAGTTTCCTGTGCAGTTTCACCTTGTGTGCCATGGGCTGCCAAGGAAGCAAACCATCAGCGAGCCTCAGAAATGCTAGGGTTCTGCAGAGGTTGTAGCTGCTAACATGTGCCAAGTTTGTTGGACGTTCGTGACAGCACGGCGCAGTGGATTTTGGGAAGTGGGAGCCGCATGTTTTCGCACCCCAACCTATAAACCTCAAGGACAACGTGTCGCTTTTTGCAGCTTGCTCGAGACATCTGAAACCTTGCCTGCGCTTGCGCGAGTCGTGAGAGTCGCAACCACCAAGGATCCCCCAAGCTCTAAACCCTAAACTTAAACCCTTGGTGCATACTCTAACTACTTTCTTGCTGTGTGACTGACAGAGCAGCCCCATGTCCCATCTTCTGAACATCCTATCATGTCATCCTGAATTGGGCTTTTGAACAGCCGACCTTTCCCCCGTAAACGCCTGCGAAACGGGTGGGAAAATAGCCTAAACTCTAAACCCTAAACCCTAAACTCTAACCCTAAACAACCCTGAACCCTAAACCCTAAATCAAGGACCTACGAGCCAAAGAGGGCCACGGATCTGGGCGCACATGGTGAGTCCAAGGCATCCACGGAAGCCCCAGTCGAGCCTTCAGAGCAGTTGGCTGAGCATACGGAGCTGGAGGTTTGGGACCTTTCTGAAACTTTGGTTCAACCTAGCTTCGGGTTTAGGGTTTGGGGTTTGGGGTTTAGGGTTTAGGCTTTAGGGTGTTCTTATGAAGCATCTGCACGACTTCTCCACAGGTCAGCCAGGTCGAGGTCGTGGAGGGGGATGAGGACGGCCATGCCAAGATCAACAGGATCGAGGAGGCGCTGGAGTCGGAAGATGCCTCCGGCTGTGGGTTTCTAGGAACTTGCTGGGGCGGCGTCCCAGTCTCTGGTGACGCCTGAGAGCTCCCCACACGAAGCTCCCCAGTGCAAGTGCCATCATGAGTCAAGCCAAGCTACTCGGCCGACTGACGGCTCACTGTAATGTGACCGCATGCTGTGCTGCAGAAATTCGTAATCACCCCAGACCTCTCAATGCCTTTGGCTCTTGACAAGTCTGAAATTCGCTGGGTACCACAAGAGTACTCAAAGCCAACGCTCGTGCCAAAAGGAAGCTCTAGGTGCTGCCTGCCAGTGGCACGATCAGCCCACACCGGCCCTTTGCCGAAGATTCAAGATGTCGGTCAGGTCAGTACGGCGGAAGAGGTCATTCTCCTGGTGCAGGCAGCATTGGGGCTTGTAAAGTACAGCTGTTGATGCGGGGGACTGCCAGGGTCATCCAGGGTCATGCATGCAGTCGCAAAGCATGCTAGCCAGGACTCAGTTTGCCTCGAGAATTCCTTGCTGGAGCACAAACTCCCGGAGAACACCTCCTGGCTGTATTTCCTGAGTCTTGGCCAGCGCAAGTCGAAGTGTGTTTTTTCCGAGCCGGCAATGGCAATGTTAGTGTTGGTTCCCTTCACTTGCCCCAGCTTCTCAGGAAGATGACAGAGCCCCTCGTCCGACAGGGTTCTGCCGAATGGCACGGTGGGAGAGGTCTGGCGTGGCTTAGGATTGAGCGTCTTGTGGCGCCTGCAGCAAAGTTTGCGGGCTGACTTCCTTCATTGCGGGCGGGTCATGGATATTTCATCATCGACTTCATGACCTAAGGCAGCTGCGGCGGGAGCGGATGCAAGCCCTTGAGGCATCGGATCAGTTGGGCACGAACCAGAGTGCACATGTCATGTAGCTGCCTCGGCTTTTCCCTTTCTCAAGACCTGAACTGCCGGCCATTGGCACGGACAACTATGGCAATGTTACGTTTATGCACAACCGCAAACGGAAGGCTGTCAAGAGAGCTCCATTACGTGTACTTAAAGACATGACATCCGGCCAGTAGCACAGAATCTAGCTGCAGAGCAAGCATGCAGTGAGAGACAGATGGGGTTTTCGAGCACGGAGTGAGCAGCATGGCAGCGAACTGTATGTAGTCATCCTCCCCCACATGGAGAGCTCTGCGGATGGTCTTAGCGTTGGCAGAAGAGTGCTGTATCTGCTACGAGGGCGGGCCACAAGTGCGGGTTCTGAGCTGCAAGCACTCGATTTGCACAGACTGTTGCCGCAAGATCCGCTCGACCTGTTGCCCTATGTGTCGGAAAGAGATGGCCTTAGCTGCACTTGAAGACAGCACCCACAATCCTAGAATTCCGCAAAAATATCAGGCCAGCAGTGAGATTGGATAATGAGGGCTGTTATAACCTTACCCTGAACTCAGGATATCGAAGATGCCCTGCTGCTGGAACTCCGCATTGTTCGAATCCGCCGCCTGGGTGCTTACAGCTTTTACATGGCCCTTCCGCTTATGGCCGGGGATGATGGCGCGGACTTCTTCTCCACGGAGCACTACCCCGTGGGATTTAGCGCCTCAGATGACAACGAAATGTCAAGCGCGTCTTGTTTTGCTTTCAGTAGTCTTTCTGTCCTCAAATTTTGGGAAGCAGTTCAAGTACAAGAGTTCGACCTCAGGCCAGGACTTTGAATTGTGCGTGCCTCCGTCAGTCCTGCGCTTGGCCATCGAGCGCGTCAACCTGCAAATCGCTTCAGTCGACCTCTCGCTCCAAACTGCGCAGTGCTGCGGCTGGAGCGCCTCGATGCTGGCTCGACACAGGGTCACCCGGGCAGTGAATGAGCTGAACGAGGAGTGGCGTTTTGCCAACATCCCATGCTATTTGTCCCTGTCTCCAGGATGGGCTTTAACACAAAGCACCCTGTATGTTCAGTGGGACCCGGACCGTGATGTCATTTAGCTCCGAGACTCAGAGCGGGGTTTATGCCAGTTTATGCTGTGGCGCAGGGCATGGGTGTGCAGCTCAAGTGCTGTGCACCGCAATGGCCCAAAGAACCCTCTGCTACGCTCCAAAAGATACCGTCCCCAACACAAGTGCGTGAGTCGCAGCATCGGAGTCGTCAACAAGTCTGCTGCTCGGCTGCTCACGTTGACAGGCCGGGGATGAGACGGTGACACTGTCTTTTCCGGGCGCGGAGAAGGAGCGGGAAGCAGCCAGGTCCGCTGCAAGTAAGTGCTGAAGAAGTTGCTTTTGTCACGTCGTGTTTCATGACCGGCTGACTCAGGAAGAAGCAAGCGGCAAGAGAGGCCTAACAGCAGAAGCGGACTAGGGTGAAGGAGTCATCATCTTCATACAAGGGAGTAACTGTTAAACGCTTGCGCGCTCCGCCCCGGCTGTAGCGATTTTCAGGGGGTTAGGTCCCAGAGGGGTTTGTTTTTGTTGGCGTGGTGTCCCTGAAACACGCGGCATCGGCTTTCGGCTCCTCCAAGCGGTTTGGGCAGGTTTCACAGGGTGGGGGGAGGGAGGGGGAGCGTACAGAAAGTTTCTGGTTGGGGTGATTCTTTTTCCAGAGGCCTCTCGGCTGGAAGCCGAAGCGAATACTCTCAGTTCTTCAAGGTCCTTTCTCACTTTGCCAGGCCGAACTTGCTGAAGCAGGCAAGGAAGAGTTGCAGCCGCTGGAAAGGCGGAACAGGCAGCTGGTGGAGGATTAGGGCCTCACGTGGTGCATTCTGTCTGAACTCTGTGGAGTGGATGTGCTGCATGAAAGCTGTTTTCGCAGTGGCTCGCAGCTTGCAGCTACAGAATTTCTTTCCTAAATATTAAGAATGGCAGAAGGCTTGAGTCGGCGGCTTGATGCGGGCATGCAGTGCTGCAAGTATGGAGGTTACGTAGGTTTCCTGTGCAGCAAGACGACAAGGAACCTGGCCAGGACGTGTCGTGCAACCCGGCAACTCTTTGCAAATGGGGATCTCGCACTTCATGTCCGCATTGAGACTCACCAGCTGTCGCACATCCTCGCACGTGGAAAGCCTCGTCCGGCCAGAAGCGAGCTGTTGCTGGAAATGGCCGCGGCCATAAGAAGTTGTGGCCGACCTCCGCTGCTGTCACTGAAAATCTATGAGCCGCAGGCTTTGCGGGACTTGTTCCCCTTGATCCTGGAGGTGTTGAACTTCTCCAAAAACCTTGAGATACTGCATCTGTGCGACATCGGAATCAGCCCGATTCGAGCTGAGTCACCAGCTGGCGCCTTCGACGTGGACCAGGCAAAGGATCTGGCGAACGTCTTGAAGTTTGTAGACCCTAGCGCGGCCAACGCAGGGAGGCACTTGAAAGAGCTGCGGCTGACAGCGGGCACTTGGTCCTGGGCCGCCTTATGCATCTTGTTTGCAAGCCTTTCCAGAAGCTCATTGCAAGCCTTAACCTTGCGAGGAAAGTTATCACTGAAGCCAGCTGCAGATGCAGATCATGCAGCTGCACTAGTTGCAGGAGACCGTCTTGAACTTTTGCAAACTTTGCGAACTGTACGCTCCTTTTGCTGGAAGGGCTCGCGCATTGTCGCTGCCAACACTTTGAAGATAATCTTCGATGCCGTGCCAGAGGCCGAAATCCGCTTTTCAATGGAGTCGAGCGGATTCTTTTCAGTGCCGTCCAAAGAGGCGGCCGAGGAGTTTGAGCTGCTGCCAAAGTTGTTGAACACCAGACGCCTGTGGGTGCGTGCGGGCACTGGCTGGAAGGAAGTACGCCCTGGTTGTGGGATTGCTGAGGGTAGTGAAGACCGCTTGCGTTCACTCATGATTTTCTACGTGGCTTCAAAGCCGGGGCATGAGCCTCCGGCGAGGCACTGGTAGCGCATACAGGCTACTGGTGCCACCCATTGGGGGGCGCTGTTCTAGATTCTAGATTCTAGAGGTACCTTTGGTATGAGTATAACAAAACCCTGCTGACACCCGTAGCTTGGAAGAGCCTCCAGCCATCTGGCCTCTCAGCGAGCACCTACCTCGAGCCGCTGCTGCTGGTGCAGGGAAAAGATAGCCGACCACTGCGCCACTACTGTACACTGCACACACCTCCTTGGATGCTCAAAGCAGGAACCTCAAGTCGGCTTTCTACTCGCGTCCCTGAACCCTAAACCTTGAAACTCACGATCACCTCGGCTTGTCCCTGCGGAGTGGGTGCACCTGGGTGCGTGAAGTGCGGGTGGCAAGTAAAGACCCTGATTCAACCCTCTAAGCCCTCAACCCTGAAACCCTTATGCCTCATGGGATTTCTCCCAATCTCTGAAGAGTAGACCCCTGCAGTGCTGTGGCTAGTCGGGTAACCCCCCCCCAAAAAAAAAAAACCATAAACCGTACGAGCCCTACAACTTATAACCCTACGAACCCTAAAACCCAAAAACCTTATGAAACCTAAAACGCTAAAACCCTATGAACCCTGTGAACCCTGTGAACCCTATAAGCCCTATGAAGCCCTCCGAACCCTACGAATGCCAAGATGTGCAGAGGCCCCCTGCCAAGCGGCCACTCCGGGAGGGCGCCCAAGGCCTTGGCGCCAAGGCCCAGCGCACTGAGGAGAGGCAGGGACGGCCATTGGGCAATTCTTATTAGGGTTTAGGGTTTAAGGGGGCAATTCTTATTGGGGTTTAGGGTTTAAGGGTTTAATAGTGACTAGCGACTGGCGTGGCCCTCAGAAGCAGCTTCCAGGTTCAAAAAAGGGTTTAATAGTAGGGAATGAGGTGCTCTATCGACCCTTACAGGGTCTAAGGGCCCTAGATAATCCCTTAAGGGGTATATGTAGGGTTGAAAAATCTCTCATTCCCTATTAAGAACCAGGGGGCATGGGACAGTTGATTTAGGGTTCTAGGTTTCAAGGCTTGGGGGGTTTTGGGGGGTTTTGGGGGTTTTGTTTTTTTTTGGTTTTTTGGGTATTTTTGGGTGTTTTTGGGTTTTAGGGTTTTAGGGTGTTACGGTTATAGGGTTTTGGGGGTCCAGGGTTGCTATTTGGGCTTGTTGAGGCCTTGCGTTTTTTTTTTTTTTTTTTCCGGCTTGTTGGTACTGGAAACAGTGACCATCTCACCATGCGCATCTCGCGGCAAGTTGCTCCGGCAGACTTTGAGACGCACATAGCATAACGGTTTTGAAGGCTCGCCGGGTCAACCTCCATTAAGCCTTCAGTATGGTACTGACCTCTGGTCTCCCAAACAAGACTCGTGGGGTTTATGAAGGCGCCCTGTGGGTGCGCACAGCAAGCAGTTCGGCCACCACATGTCCGAGTTGCCAATGCGTTAACGCTTACATTGTCTCGTCGTGGGAAGAGATGCATAGGAGGATGCGGGGATGTACAATGACCTCTGCTGATCCAAACCATGCATGGTTGTGACTGCATGCTCACTGCAGACAGAGCGAAAGGTTTCGACGGTGCCCAATCAGGTTTATGCATAATTAGCACTGTAGTCCATGCAGAACTTCGTGCATAGCACCTCAGCAGGCATGTATTACACCTGCGTAGTACGCAAAGTGCATTATGCATATATGATGCGGGTGCGGCCTGCCCCCCCCCCCCCCCCCCCCCCCCCCAATTGTCCCCCCCCCCCCCCCTGGTGGTGTGGTTGTGGGTTGGTTTTAGGGGTTAGGGTTTAGGGTGTAGGGTTGTTTTAGGGTTTTTTAGGGTTTAGGGTTCCCCCCCCCCCCCCCCCTGTGGTGTGGTTGTGGGTTGGTTTTAGGGATTAGGGTTTTAGGGTTTTAGGGTTTAGGGTTTACGAAGAAACCATTCGATGGCGATGGATTTGCAGGTTGGGTTGAGTGCTTCTAGTGAGTGTTCGCCTGATCTCGCTTGTGTCGACTTCAGTCAAGATGATTGAATGTCGGGTCTGGTATTTCCTGATGTTGTTTCAGATGGGCGCGTGCGAGACATTTGTTCTTGCATGGGTGGGTGACAGTCAGTCAATGCTGTACCTTGCCTCCGCCTCAGTGTCTCAGTGTCTTAGTTGGTGTTTCCCGGCAGTGTTCGAAGAGGCCTGGATGCAAAAAGGGTTCTAGGGTTTAGGGTTTAGGGTTTAGGTTTTAGGGGGGTTGGGGGGGTGGGTGGGTGGGGGGGGGGGGACCATACCATGGGGGGGGGGGGTGGCGAACCGAGAACCGGGATCATATATGCGTACATGCATGCATGCATACATGATTCAGGCTCCCTCTGCGGTTGTGGGATTTGGGGATTGAGGGTTAGGGATAGGGTTTTAGGGTTTGCATGCTTTGTAGGGTTAGTGTTGAGGGCTTCGTTAGGGGATCGGGGGTTAGGGTTGTGGGTTTAGATTCTAGGCTAGGGTTGCAAACCGCGAGCCGGATTATGCACACATGCATGCAAATAGGCAGAGTACATATGCAGCAGGCGTGGTGGTGATCGGGAAAGAGACAGACGCGACCCTGCCCGACGCCCCTCGAAGCATGGCAACATGGGGCAACAAGAAAGTGCAGCACGCTTGAAGACATTGATGTCATGTGCATGTGCACGTGCTCTTTCCGTTGGCTTCAGGTTCCTGGGCTGCACGCGATGAGAGGGGTCGTGATCCGCGAGAGCGCAGTGAGCGCGAAAGGCCAGGTCGTGTGCTTGCATCGATGCTTGCAAAAAGCTTGCGCCAAAAAGGGATCCTCATCTCGAACAAGCCTCAAGTGCTAAGCAAGTAGTGTAGTACTCTTGTAGTGTCGCCTGTGTCCAGCCTATATCCGGCCTGGGTCTCCTGATGTCCTGTGCAGCCTTCAGGGACAGATATCCAGACCGGCATTCTGAACGGGATGGGTACAGCTCTCAACACCGCGGAGACAGAAGCAGCCACTTGAAATGAACCGCATTGCCTGAAAAATATGCTTGCAGTCTTGCCAAAGACACACTTGCGGCACAGCTCAGGACAGAGTCAGCCCGACGCGCGAAACCATGCTGCGACTGGAAGCCGAATATCTGGCAGCGTGGCCCTCGAATTCTTGTGAGTAACTCAAGAGGCTGCGTGATCCAACGTGTGAGCACATCGCTGTCACACCACGTTTATAAGGCCAATCTCAGCATGAGCGCAGCTACGGGGCCGGTCGCGGGCTCAGGGCCGCAGCTGTACAGATGCTGTGGTCATGCGATTTCAAGGTTGATCGCTGCGAGGTACTCTCTCTCTCTCGCTACCTCCCTCTCTCTCTCTGTGTCTGTCTCCCTCTATCCCTCTCTATTCATATCTGGTTTTTCAGAAACAATTATCGGGCCGCTCACCCACAGCCAGCTATGCCCGAAGCAGACAAGGACATAAGTATGGGCGCCGGGTGGAGGGTTCTCGGGAGGGCGAAAGGGGCCGGGTATTGGAGGAGCAACAAGAACAAGAACAGCAACAACCAACGACCAACAAACCAACAGCCAACAACCACCGCCAACAACAACGCCAAATCCCACAAGCACCAGCAACAATATCACTCCCACCGACAACAACTACATCTACAGCAACAGCCAAAGCAACGGAAACAGCCACCGCCAACACAGAAAAGGAAAACAATCGCCGCCACCACCACGAGCAACAATAACCACAACAAACAACCAACAGCTAACGAAAACAAGCAACAACCCACCAGCACCACCGCCGCCGCCACCACCACCACCACCACCACAACCACCACCACCACCACCAAGAACAACTTTCATGTCCATCGCTTGTGTGGATACGTGCCCGCACCTTGCGGGGCAATATGTTACTGCATGGAGAGCCAAGTGTACTGTGAGAGCACCTCCGCCACATCATCGGATTGAGGATTGAGGTAGAGGTTTCATGGCGAATTAGGATTGCGCGTGTCAGTCTCAGTCGTCCCTCGACCATGGGGCAGGGAGGCATGATCATGTGTGTATATATGCATATAATGTAAATGTAAAGGTATATGTGTAGGTATACAAATATTCGTTTGCTTCGCTCCCTCTCTCCTTTCTTCTTGAACGCTTCTGTGTCTGCCTTCTTCTGGGCGCAGATCGTACCGCGACCCGCAACCTTGATTGGACCCAGCGGTCCGGTGTGGCAAGCATCTGGGCTACTCTTAGAGTAGGGCTCAGGGGGGTTGAGGCTCTTGAGGGTCCGAAATCTGTGAAACCAAAAGCCTTCGAAAGCCTCCGAGAGGATGGCGAAAACTTTCCCATCCGGGCCTTCTTTCTTGCAGCGTTTTAGAGCCCAATGGGCTCAAAACCCCTAAGCCCTAAGCCGTGAAGCTGAAGGACCCAGAGAGCCACCTCCCGCCAGCGTCTACAGCCGGGAAAGTCGGAGCAGCCGCGAATTGACCGCCTCACACACCTCGAAGCCGAGCACCCTGCAGAGCCCTGGTGGGGCTCCCAGATGATCCCAGATGAACTCTGCTTGGGCTTGGACTCGGCAAGCTTCAGTGTTCAGATGCTCCGACTGCTGGAATCCTGCAATTGACTACAGTACGGCCCGGTGCATATTTCGTCAGACCACATGAAGAGCGTGTTCTATCATGTAAGCCACTTAGGTGCCAGTCCTGGTGGTCAGGCCCACCGCCGTACGGACACGACCTCGGGCCGCTCGGGCCATCGACTGTCACTACTTGTTTTGGAAGGTTTTGGACTCATTATCAAATATCTTTAGCTTACCTGGCCCATCTCTTGTCTTCCTGACTTCCCAGTGGCTTTGCGCACGTTCTCATGCAGAAGCTTTATGAACCTGCCGAAAGATCTGCCAGCAGAAGCCTCTGCAAGAGCTTGTTGTCTTGTTGTCCCCCGCCAAATGACCGCAAAGGCAGGGAGTTTCGGACGCCGATTGGTGCCACTCAGACCCAGGGCCGCGACCTTCGCAGCACACCAGCGATGCCTGCACCAGGCTCACTTACATCTTGCTCAGCTGTCCGAGTTGAAGCTGACAAGGTCTCTCAAGGAGGGTAGTGCAAGGGTAAGCTTCCTTCCACTGTGTCGATCTTGGCACTTGGCCATTCAGGCAAGGGTGCAGCTGCGAGCGACATGGCCGCAGAAAACGACATGATTTCTGGCTGGGCTTTCTTGTCATGTCTTATCAGAATTTTATCATTTTGAGCACTGGAGGCTACGGCAAGGGCCTGGCCAAGGGTTCTTGGCGGCAGCAGAAGGACTTGGACCCACTCGATGCCTTCATGGCCGCTCGGTTGATGCTTTGTTTGGGCCTGCTGTGGTTTCTCGCTTTGCAGTGGCTGAAGAACCCTAACCCTAAACCCTAAACCCTGAGCCCTAAGCCCTAAGCCCTAAACCCCATTCTGCAACCTTTCCTTGCGAGGCTGGAATGGAGCGGCACGGGGAGGCTTTTGCCACAGGCGATGTGCCGGTCGAACCGCCAAAGCCACCAACACCGCCACCAAGGCAGGTTTGAATCTTGAAGCGATTGGGAAGAGAAGTGCCCTGACATTGCAGCGTTGCAGGGACGTTCCCGTGCAACTACTAAGGCTACTAAGGCAGCGCGTCCAAGTTTTGAATTAGGTCGGGCGGCTCGAAGACGACCAAGCAATACAGGGGCCACAAGCCCTAGGGGCCCTAACCCCAAACACGGAGTGCACATGAGACTAGCACACTCTGTAAAGCTGTGCTCAAGTTGGAGCATGCGGTGTTCCATGTATGTTGGTGCAAGACGCTGACACTTAACAACGGTCACTTTGTCGTCGCATGTTGTGGCATGTTTCTGGCAGGCCTGACAGGCATCACCGCGGTGATGATGGTTACCGTGACCCACGAGCTCACAGATCTGACACAGGCCAGCGCGACTACAATGACGGGTACCGACGGAGTGAGCCCAGTCGTCCTGCCGCATATGATCATCATCGAAGCAGTTCTGACACTCACAGAAGTGGATATGGGACTGCCGACGGGTACAGGGCTTCTGAGCATATGTCACGTGGCGTCATTCCTGCTTATCGTGGCAATACACAGCCCACGTACGGCGACTCGTATCGCGAGGCAGAGGCCAGGGGTTACAGCAGCTACGCTGACCAAGCAGGCCGCGGCAGCCACGGCGGCTACGGCATTCCGGCCAACGATAGTTACCGGAGTGCTGATCGCGGCCTCCACAGCTCCAGCTATCGGACCGATGAATACCAGACTGGCTATGGCCACAACTCATACTACGATCGCGGAGATGATGGAAGAGGCTATTCTGGCCGTGTCAATCCGCAAGACCTGTAAAAAGCGAATCTGATGCTTTGTTGTCGGCAGTGTGTGAAGGAAGTCTACGTAAGGAAGCAATCCAATATGGCAAGTCATGTCCACCGCATTCCATGGGGTGGAACAAGGCTCGTCGCTTGAGAGGAGCGAACATTCGCATTGCAGGACCTACGTTCTACTCAAGTTTGGCTTGGCTTTTCGCATCTCCTTCAAGCCAGTACCACCAGCTTTTACGTTGACAGCATATGGTAGTGACAAGCACATAGGCGTGCAGCTCCGCACTGTCTGCCACTGCCATGGAGTGCGCCCTGTGGCCGGCAACATGGAGGAGGCAAACTGAAGCTTCATCATTGCGAGTTTTGTGGCCATCGTTACAGCAATTCAGAAATCGTTTTGCTGAAGGAGATCCCCGCTGTCCTTCAACGTGACCGCAGCAATGAGAAGTGCTACTAAGTACATATGCAATGAACATCTTTCGGCTCAAAAACTCGAGTTCTTGACAGTTCCGGGTTCCGGAGTGTTCCCAAAGGACAAATTCCCATGAAGCAAGAGTGATGTCCGATATGCACAGAATCCAGCAGTAAATCAAGGACTTCCGTAGAGGTTCACCCTAAACCCTGGAAAAAAGTCGACCCTGAACGAATCGAAAAGGACTGAGTTTAGCCTTCCTGGCATTGCGCGTTTCTAAAGCCCAAGTAGCGCCCCATCTCGGTTTCATCAAGGCTGTGTGATAAGATTGTGGAGCTTCTGACACTTGCCTTGCCTGCCGGGTGGAAGAGTGATCTTCACGACACTGAAAAAGAAATGCCAGCCGGACTGACACACCGCGTCCTAGTCCTGGTGTCGCTGCTTGGATTCCTCTGGACTGTCCCCGAGCTGGTCAGCGTAAGGCCAGCATCACCGACCATGGAGGCACAGATGTTCAGCCTTGCCTTGAAGAAGGGTCCTACGGCAAGGCAGCTGCAGCAGAAGGAGCATGCGCTGTCCGTGGTGAGGAAGGTTGCAGAGAGCAGGTGGTCGAATCACGATGTGGAGGTAATCCCATTCGGCTCTTCCGTGACAGGACTAGGTGAAGGCAGCTCAGATGTGGACGTGGTGCTGTTCTTTCCCAATGGAGGACCGCCCCCATTGGAGGCACTCCGCGGTCTAAAGCAAAAACTCGAACGCCAACCCGACACAAAAGTCCTGCAAAGCTTGTTGAGGGAAAAGATGAAGATTCCCTTGCTGCGATTGCTCATCCAGGGTGTGCAATGCGATCTCACATGCCAGAATGTGTTGCCTGTCTTCAACACAGTACTACTTCGAGGCTATGGCAGTCTCTGCCCAAAGTTGAATGTGCTGGCTATCGTCATCAAGCGGTGGGCAAAGAAGTGCAGAATTGGTGAGGTGCAGAATGGATTCATTTCGTCTTACACATGGACCTTGATGATGATATATTATCTTCAAGTTTGTCATGGCCTCCCCTCCCTGCATGTGCTGTCACCTCACCAAGCTCTACACCGAACTCCGAAGAACAAGACCTTTGCCTTTGGGTTTCTGTCCACAGAAAACCGGCAAAAGGTGAGGACGCCTTTGAATGACTTACTTCGTGGCTTCTATGAGTTTTACTCCGAGCATTTCGATTGGGAATATGAGGTGGTGTCTGTCAGATTGGGCAGACGACTAAGCTGCAAAGATTCTGAGTTCAGACTGCTTCCGCGCAAGCATCTAAAGGCACCGCGCAAGAAGCCAAAGGGACCGGGCATTCCACTAAAGACAGAAGGTTACCCAAACATCTTGAAGGTGGAAGATCCCATCGAGATTAGCCGCAACTTGAACTTTGCCTTGATCCCACGCACCTGTGACAAAATCCGGTCATCGATCGCAGCTGCCTTCAAGTCCTTCCAGGGGCCGGACGCTTGGTGTTGCTTGCTAGGGAGCTTATAGTCGTTACCTCGATCTAGGGTCAAGATAAATCTCAGATCGCTGATGCCTGAAGCTCCTTTCACAACTACTCAGGAAGAGGCCCTTCTCGGAGATCTTACTGGTCTCAAGCGTCTGAAAGGGACGAGTGAACGGCCACAGATCCGTCGCTTCTTGCGTCACCGCCTGCCTCCAGGTCGTTCCGCCACTGCCATTGTAAAAAATGCCACGGATGGAGGAGCGGTAGGTTGCCTGGAGTGCTTTCGCTGGATGCCAAATTTGGACGCCTTGGAGCAACATTTTCTTGTCACCAACCACTCGGGCATCCTTGAAAAGGTGTCTGGCATATGACGCGTGCCTCTTGCTGCAAAAGTCTATCTCCACCGCTGCCGCTCAGTGCAGTCGGAAAAGCTAGCCCCAGAGAGCTCACGATGGTTCTTGTCAACCATGACTCTTTTCGGGGTGCAGGCGCATGGCTGGGCGCTTGTTAATCACCCATGCCAGCTCCTTGGGCAGAAGCTTCTGGCAAGACCGGACCACCATCAGGGATAAGTCCATAGCCAGAACCTACACCAAAAGAAAGCAGGTTCCTTTACCAGAAGGTCTTGGGTTAAGAGTTTTCCCGGTTTGCTTGTCCTCACCAGGACAGTCCTTCGGCTCCTGCGGTAACCTCATGAACCAAGCAGGTTTAGGGTTTAGTGTTTGGGTTTAGGAACCTGGTACTCGAAGTTTGCTTGGCCTGTGGCCTAGCTCGGGGGTGCTATGGGGTCACTGACTTCTGCTGGTGGTTGCCAGCTTGCTGATCAGATGTATCCGCTGAAACTCGATCAAGGTGGGGGGGGGCGGAATCATGGTGGGCAGCAGTTGGATGGTTAGTAGTAGGTCCATCTTTGTTGACCAGAGGAGGTATCAGTACGTCGTTTAGCACATGCACCAGGAAGAGCCTGAACTATCGCGGGCCACTCGAAAAGTCTTGATGCGATGCCTTTGGTGTTGGCCACATTGGCCTGGTTGGCCTGCCTCGTAAAGATCTTCGCAGGCCGGCCAGAGCCCGAAGTGCCAGATCAACGGCTTGTGGCCGCTTTGCACAACTGGAGAGAGGAGCGGCGCCTCACGCACGTGCAGCCTGACGGGCCTAGCTCTGTACGACATGCCTCGGTACACCTCCTCTACACCACCCCGGCCGGCGGGCCACTGGATGCGTGGTACAACGAGGTGGAAGTACAGGAAAGCAGCACAAGCTCCTACTTCAGTGTCCTTGGCCATGCCTATGGCTATGCGGGAATGCAGCAGCTCACAGAAGATCCCTTCACTGGAAGAGCGATCTTTTCAATTTGGGACCCACCGAATTGCAGCAGTAATGACCTCAACAATTGCCCTGAGGAGGAACGCGCGACCTTCGTGACGTGTGGCCCAGAGACGGTTTGTACCCGTTTTGGTGGCGAAGGCAGTGGTGCTAAATCGTATCTGAAATGGAATTCCTGGGAAACTGACAAGAAATACAAGTTCCTTGTACAAGCTACTCCAAGCGGCACAGAGCACGTCGAGTTCACCTGCAGGTTTTATGCAGCTGAGTTTGGCTGGCGCATTCTTGCACGGATCAAGGTGCGCCGCCGCGTGGACATTCCAGCGGGGGTCTCATCCATGTACTCCTTCGTGGAACAGTGGACGACAGCCGACCACCAGGACAAGCGGTGGGCATCGTTTGGACCTTCAGCTGTTCGAAGGAATGGCAGCTTGCAGCATGAGTGGGTTCAGCTTCGAGAAGCCCGATGGGCACACTCACGAGCTCACAATGAAGAGACGGCCCACATCGATGGAGGCATCAGCACTAAGGGAGATCGTTGGGAGTTGGGTCATGGGGGCGATGTCGACAGGAGCCTTGAAATTTACGACAGGCTCACGGTGGCTGAGGTCAAAGCTTGCCCTGTGCAACTGATTGAAGTGGTGTCCTTGGAGGGGGCAGGACAGCTGCCAACAGGACTGCCCCCGCAGCCAGTTGTGTCCTGTGGAAATCACATCGCCGATACCTGCCTGGACTGTCCACAAGGAAACGGACCAACGTGGTGCAATGGAGAGTGCGTCTGGAATTATAACACGTCCCTGTGCGAACCAGCATCGCCGTGGCAGCCCGCGAATTTGTCGACTTCCTGTGGCAACCACTGGGCAGAAAGCTGCAATGATTGTCCTCAAGACCATGGCAAGTCGTGGTGCAAGGGCGACTGCCAGTGGGATTTAGACAGCAACTCCTGCACAACCAGACATCGGCGACTCGGGCATGTCACTCTGGACTGCAGCCCCAGTCCCAGGAAATTGCCGACAGAATCTCCACAAGTGCAAGCAGATTTAGCCAGGCAGCGCAGCATCAGTTCGGCCATCATTTGGTTCCTTGTGCTCAGCTTTGTCCCTCGGCGGTAAGATTGTGCTGTCGTCGAAGACGACCTCACGGTCTGACGCGAGCAAGATAGCGGTGAGATGTATCTGGCGGAAGGACCTGCCAGAGAACGCTGACAGTCTCAGTTGCCCTCCAAAAGGTTGGCACTGCAGTTGTCCGGGAACATGACCACGAACCCATCAAGAGGGCGGGCCCGGGAAACAAAGAGGCACTCTCTGTATAGGTGGACATGACAGCGGTGGTGGGGAGCCCTACCCTCAACAAACCCTGCTGATCCCTGCTGTAGCCTCTGAGAACTGTAGCACAATGTGTATTATCCGCTAGTATTTCAGGGGCCCTTGTTTGCTGCTGTAGTTTCGTCATGCGCCTGCGAAGGTGTCTGAGCAGCGAGAATGCGCTGGGTGACCTTTGCCTGTTGCGCCATGCAGCGTCAGAACCTGCAATCCTGCATCGACTTCAGCAGAGAGACGTGAAGTTGCACGATCTGCAGATAAGACTAGGATCCCGACCCGCCGAGACCTCGTGAGCACTAGCCTGCAGGAACATGTTCTTGCTGCAGCTGATTTTGCACCAAATTGAATGACTTGGTGACGAATGTGAGCCCACCAGCGACAACAGCCTGCCTGTTGCGTACAGCAAACCATACTGAACATGTCTCAATGACTCATGGACTCAGAACCTGAGATCATGCATACTCAGGCTGGAACTCAGCAGGCAGTCAGAGCAAAAAACGCCGTAGCACACAGAAGACCAGTCGCGCATCTACTAAATCCAGTCAAAGTAACGTTGGTGAGGGACGGAATGGGCATTGTTCCTTTCCTTGAGCGCCATGTCGATCGAAGAGCGGTCGAAGCGATTCACCCCCAAGGTGTCCGCAGCCTTTTGCATGGCACGAGCTGGACCCTCAGATTTTGTGTCAGCAACTGTACGTTGATAGCTGTTGACGCAAGCGTTTCCTAAGCGCCCTGCTTGCGCTCGATGCTCTGCAGTCTTCATCTTCTTCGCATTTCTTCATGTTGTAGAAGTCTTATGGCGCAACTAGTACATATTGGGAAGTATTCTGATCCAACTACTAGATTGAGGAAAATGTCATCTTCCCCCCCCCCCCCCCCCCCCCCCCCCCCCCCCCCCGCCCCCCACATTGAGTAACAATATTGGGTGTCTCTGAAGGTATGGAGTGGAGGCCAAGGTGGCCAATGCCCACTGATGCCTGAAAAACGGGGCCTCTGCCTCTTTCATGCAGAGAAGGATGAAGAAACTGGACTGAGCCACGGGAGGGTCGACGGTGCCTTTGTGGCAGCAAAGCAGGGAAGAAGATGTTGGGGGCAGGGTTGTAGTTACGGTGTTCTCCCGTGTCCAGCTGAGGCGCAATCCCGGAGGATAAGTTGCTCGAGTTCGAGGCCTTCACTGCGAGGAGTAGCATCAGCCACTTTCCATCATTGGGGGCCGATGCAGGCTTTCCTTTCGACAGATCCACTGGTTATTTTTGTTCCACAGTGCAGTTCACCCCTTCCCCCCGAGGCCCTGCGACAAGTCGTGAACGGAGCCGCAGCGACAGGCGCGCAAAGACTCAGGACAAGGGGTTTAAAGATACAGAAGGAGTTGTCAGCGACACCCGATCTTATGGGCATGCTCACTTCGCAGTTCAAAGGCCTCAGCGGGCCCACACATTGGACTGTAAGAGGGACGGAAGGCTGGAAAAGCCACTTCTCAGGAGACCAAGACCGAGTCCAAGTCGAAAACCAAAGCAAAAGCAGCAAAAGCAGCAAAAGAAGCAAAAGAAGCAAGTGCCAAAGCAAAGGCAAAAGACAGAGCCAGAGACGACAGGACGGGGGTTTGCAGTTCCTTTACATCAGCTGGACCCTCCGGTTTCCCAAGTCGAGCAGTTTGTTTGTGAAGGCCATGTGAAATGACCAGGAGGTTTTAAACTGCGAATAAGCAGGGGGCCGCGATCATCACAGTCGGATGCGCAGGAGTGTCCGCACGGACCGCCCTCGCTGTACGGCGCGTGTTTGGGCGGGCGGCGAAGGTGGACAGCGCCCTGGCATGCGTGGCAACTATTGTCCTACGCAACATCGCCGGCCATGCCTCACATCAGTTATCATCAATGTTTAGCGCCTCCTGGGCACCGTCTGGTTTACTTGCCGGCCACGCTAGAAAGCTGCTTGATCTGGAGCGCCAGGCCGTGTTTCAAATGTCAGGCAGATGATAAGGAGTGACACAACACCGTGTGCAGAGTCATACATGGATGTCTTCAGCCTGGTTGCGTTGCCCAGCCTGCATGTAGACATCTGTAGACTCCTTGGTGAAGGTCTGCTCCTGGGAGCTAAGGTGCAAGGCCACATGTGAAATCGAAGGTGGCCTTTGCGGTCGACACCAGGCTGAGGCAGACCAGTTGGGATATCCGAAGCATGGCTTCATCCATGGAGCCTTGGCAGGCTTATAATGGCTTAATGTTGTGGGCGGTGTGGAAGTTCACCCGCCTCGGTGATGTCAGCTCAGGTGAGATACCCGAGGCAAAGTACAAGGAGTTCAAGAAAGAAGCAGCAACTGAGCTGACAAGTCTCACAGGCCATCCTGACAGGCTAGCATGCCTTGAGGCGAGCACGAGTCTTTATCGGAACTTAAGATTTAGCGGCCCCAAGGTGAACCGCGCAGGAAGCTCTGAATATCCCTGCATCTTGCTTAAGTGAAGCCCAGGACAAGAAGGGATGGTCAATGCCCAGTCCGCAAGCTCCACCGTCTGGATGCCCAGTGAGCCCTGAAGATCCCAAGAAACTAGGTTTCGCCGTTGGTTGGGGTTTCAAGGTTGTTGCAGGTGGGCTTGCAAGTTTGCTTGTGTTGGCATGACTTTCTCCTGACTTGGGTAGACGGAGTCTTTGCAGTGAGATATTCATTCGCCATCGCTGTGAGAGTCAGAGTTGGGATCGCTATCAGGCTTTGTTCACTTGTTTGGACTGCACGCGCGTGCAAGCGTAGTTAAAGAGCATGAAGGCAGCACCATCGTCCAGCGAGCTTTGTGGCCGCCTTTCAATACCTCAGTCCAGAAAAAGGTGAGCATGGGAAAGAGACGGTGAGAAGCTACTGTACGCAGCGGCACACGCACGCGTTGTGAACATCTGTGAAGTCACAGTTGCGGAATCCACCCAAAGTACCTGACACCGGGACGGTCTTGGTGGCGATGGACATATAGCCAGCACAGGCCAAACATGACAAAAAGCAAGGAGGAGCCATGACAGCAAGAGGCCAGGCAAGCTACGTAAAGCGGAGGCGCCGGAAGCCTGGCGTGAGTGGAAAGAGAAGGATGAACTCCCCCAAGCCCACCCCCTCCCCCCCCGGCGGAAACCTTGCAGTCCCATTGGCGACGGCCTTAACTAACAAAACTTTATAAGACCTAAAAGCTGAACTCCTGCTTCTGGCCGCTTTGACTGAGATGTCAAGGAGAGGTAGGGTCCGGGGACTACGTAGATAGAAGCGGCCAAGAACCTGTGCACGTAAAAAGAAGCGCCAAAACCACATAACAAACCAGCCCCTGACACTGAGAGGCCTAGTCCTTCCAGTGCTGCGAAGCGGCCGGCGAGGGCACGGAAATGAAACCCGGAACCGCATCCTTCACTTTTAGATTCAGCCTGTGGCTGAACATCGTCTGTGTACAGACAACCGGGGGCTCAAGCAGGCGAGAGCAAGCTTGAGCATAAGTGGGCGTGCTGCGGCAAAAATGTCCTGAGAGCGCGGCGCAGGAGAGTAGCGCAGGTGTGCGGACGTGGCCCTCGCGCTGCCAAGTCTCTGCTATCCTCACAAGCTCTCAGCATTGAGACCCAGATAGGTAAAGCACCTGGTAAAGCAGCATCAGCAAGCACGGTTCTGCGATTTCGATTGCATGCGATGCACCAATCAGAGCGGAATTAGGCCTCTGAACTGCAAGTCTGGCCACCAACTCCATTACCTTTGTGTTTGCGATGTTGGGCCTGGACTCCGCAGACTCCGCGGGCTCCGGAGCCGCACCCGACTCAGAGGAGGAGCGCTACCTGGAAGCTTCAGCGTTCCCGAGCTTCAGGGAGCATCTTGGCCTGTGCATTGCATGGCCCGTGGTTCACTTCAATCAAAGTGGGTTGAGGTTTGCTTGAAGCCGCTGCGTTGATCCAAGGCTTCTGGAGGCCAGTGATCAGTACGCGCGCCACAGCGGGTGCCGCTTCCGACGAGCTTCATTCGAGGACTTGACAGAAGAAGGCTCGCGAGACATCTCAAGCCGGAGCTCAAACCAACTTTAGAACCCATCACGGCACAGCAGCCGCACTGAGATCTGAAAACAGGACCCATTCTCAGTGCAGGGTGCAGTGAGACGGAATACTGCACAGCAACTCGCGCCAGGCTCTGACCCCGAGCTGCAGGCTGCAAAAGCACAAGCTGCCCCTGTGGTGAAGGACTCCACAGACCATGTATTCACACAAATAGGGGAGACCCATTTTATACCACTAACTAGAATCCCTTAAGGGGACCCCTGAAAGAGCGCCCCATATCATCATGCATCGATGAGGAGGCTCCCCTTACGTTGAAAGCACTTAGCAGCAGTTTTTTTCGGCGTGCCAGCTGCCAACTTGGAGCTCTGGAGGAGTTTTTAGCCAGACTGAAGGACTCCCCAGACCAGGCAGGATCTCTAAATAGGCTTCTGCTGCTGAGATGAGCCTATATCCCCCTTGGGGATTGTTTCTACTTTTTGTTCATATAATAAAACCCAAGAGGACATTAAACATATTGTTTTTTATTAAGGTTCCAAGGGGAGTATAGCAGCAGTCTCTTTGTCTTTGGGGAAAGCTGGGCGGAGGCGCTTTTGAAAGACTTCAACGAGGCTTTTGATGCCCTCTGGACAGAGAGTATGCGCAGCTCCATGGTGGCCAGGCATCCAGAGACGGCATCTTTAGGGTTTAGGGTCTTAGGGTTTTAGGGTTTTAGGGTTTAGGGTTTTAGGGTTTTAGGGTTTTAGGGTTTCGGGTTTAGGGTTTAGGGTTTCGGGTTTAGGGTTTAGGGTTGCAGGGATCAGGGTGTTGATGAGAAGCCTCTACGTCTATGGCTCCCAAACGGTAGCTCGTGCTATGTACATGCTTTCTAAGGCAAGGATTGGGATTGCACTGGGAACACTTTTGAGATGATTTTGAAGGGTCACCACATAATCTGCATTTTTCAACACATCCCGGCGTGTAAATCGCACATTCGGCTGCCAAAATCAGTCGGGTGGAGTAACCACGCTCCCCACCCCTCCCGACCACCAAAACACATTGCTTGTTGTCGCATTTTTCGGACCGTTTCCGCGATTGCCAGCTTACATTGGCCAAGACAAAAAAAATGCTTTCAAGCAGACAACTTCCACGGCTGCCAGATTACTCAAACCAAGGACCAGTTTCCACGGTCGCTGACGCAAAACAAGCATTTTCCCGAAAAGAGCGTTATTTTGTTATGGACAGTTTTCATGATTGTCGGCTTAGGCGAGCCAAGGCAGGACAAAAAAATCGGACAGTTCGTGGTTCCGATATGAACCGAGGCGAAACTTGAGCTTACACGCCACGCAGTACATGTGACATATGTCGAGAATGAGCTGCATCAAATTCGGGAGTGTCAATGCATGAAAGATACGTCTTGAGCACCGGCATTCAGCTCCTGTGTGTCTATATACATAATATATATATATATATAATATGTACTGTACATACATGCATACATACGTACATATATATATATATATATATATATATATACGCGGTAGAAAAAAAGGTATACACATGGTTTGGTGGGTCCACACACCCGCACCCGCACGCGTGCACGCATGCACACGGAGTACTCAGGTCGTATTCCTTGTGTGTGTGTCGAAGATTTTCCTCGAAGAAGACGACTTGGATATTGACCTGCAGATACCTGATGAGAAAGACATTGTTTGCGAATGGCAACAGGCACAGCAAAAGTCCTGAGGTGTGAAAATCCAGGTATGTGAAAATGCTTTCACCTTCATAGCAAAGTCATATATCTGTATAAAATCTGATTTGTACACGCATCTGTGTTTGGGTACACCCACAGAGAACGAGAGAGAGAGAGAGAGAGAGAGAGAGAGAGAGAGAGAGCGAGAGAGAGAGAGAGAGAGTCAGGCGCGCTCTTGCGCGTAATAACGGTCCGCAACATGCCCAGCAACAGAAGCGCAGAAGAAGCAGAAGAAGAAGAAGAAGAAGAAGAGTAGTGAGTGGGTGGAAGGAAAGAAGAGATGAGGCCGCCTCAGCCCTTTCAGGGGGGTTGAGTACGCAGGAAGAAGGGATGGAAGAGAGAGGGATAGTTCTGAAGATACGAGAAGGAGCAAGGCATTTTGCAGCTGCAGGTGCCACCAGCTTGACCTGTGGCCGCCAAGCCCATCGCCACTTGGCATCGCGGAGGACGACGTCGAGTATGAGGCGGATACCACGCCCCATGGATTCATATCAATATTCCGATCGGGCTCTGTACTATGCATGGTTTTGGGGGTATTCTCAATGCGGCTGCTTGAGGTGAGCAGCAGTTTGCAGTATGTTACAGTACCCATCAAGCCTTCCACCCTGTGCTCCTTCAAGGCTTGACTAGCAATTTCCTGACATCATCAAGGTCCCTGTTCGCCATCGCCCAGCGACTGTACAACCATGACTGTCGTCGCAATGCCTCGACCATGAGGCCGAGTGTGAAGTGTCAAGGCCAGCAAGTCTTGGGTTTGTGACCACGACAGGCGCTTGTCGACGGCATCTTTCCTTGCAGACTTCGCGTACGAAGCAGGCATTCCGACACCCGACTTTTTCCGGAGCAGGAGTCCGGTCCTGGACAAGCGGCCCGGCGGTATCATTTTGCGTCTCAGAATTCTTCCTGATTAAGGGTAGCATACGGATTATATTTGTTTATTCTTTTGGGGTTCTTAAGCAAACAGTAGTATTCCGTTCGACAAGCCGGGGTGTCGAGATGAGGTTCGAACAGATGGCAGATGAGTACGAAGAGCAGATGCAGTTCCCACCAACGCGTCGTTCTCATTCCTGGTGGTTGCCATGGAATTTGCAGCTTGGTCCGCATTGAAGCTGCCATTTCCTTCACGTTGGACACCAGCGTTGCTTTTTCAGGATATGGGATGCAGGCTCTTGGCTGTATGGCATCTTCTCACGAGCCTTGCGACCTATTGTGGATGCTGCATGCACATCGCGGACGAAGAAGCTCGAATAAAGTGCATCTGCCCTGGCTTGGGCACAAAGTGCAATGAGTGCTGCGAGAGCCAGGCGGTGCCAAAGTTGGTGCTGCTAGAAGGTTTTTTGCTCACTTATGGCCGACTCTTATACCTGTTCCTCGAACCCAAAAGAAGCCATGCCATGTCATTTTCCATTGCTTCCCGTGCCCACCTCCAGCCTCCAGCACTCTTGGCTTTTCCAAGCCATGCTGCCTGTAGGATCTTCCTTTGTCTCATGCCTGCGGGAAGCTCGGGCCACAACCGTGGGAGCTTGTAGGTGTTGACATGCATATGGGCATGTCGGGCATTAAGATGCATGTGGGTTGAGGCTTTTAGCAGGCAGACTGCGCCATGTCCAGCAGCTGTTCTTCGGATTGGCCCATTGCGCAGCGTCGCAAACGGTGCAGATGCAGACTTGCACAGGAGCTGGAGAAGTTTGTTTATAGCATTATAGTCGACACCGTACTCCCGGCCTTTGCTGCCAAATTGCACTGATGTGCTGCTCCTGTTTCAACAACTCCAACCCTGGATATGCATTTAATCAGGGATCCTTGCGGTTGCAAGTCGCTGCTGGCATGGTGGTACCACTTGATTGTGCAGAATTGACAAAGAGGATTTTTCAGTGACACAGCTTATGGGAGCAGCACGTCTCGAGCCTTGCAATGCAGGTGAGCTGTCCACAGTCGGTAGCTAGAGACAATCCAGGCGCAGTATCCCCCCCAACCTCCCCCGTCCCCCCACCCCCTGGGCCCCCATTAAATTGCAGCAAGGTACTATGGAACTAGCGTGTTATCCTGCCGTTGTGGCTCAAGGACGACTAGAAGAGCCATGTGAAAGTGTGTGGTGTGGAAGATCTGCCTCAACACCCGGCAGCGGGTTTTGACCTCGGCTGAGCCTTTCTCATGTTGCGTTCCTGTCTCGCCTGTGACACGAAATCTTGGAACGAAACGGTCTCTGAGCTGCACCCCTGAATTTTCCGAGCTTCAAATCTTGGCAGATAAACTCCGCACTTGGGGAAATGGGGTTTAATTTACGTGGGATTTCCAGCTGAGTTCCGGGTTTACTTGGACTTGGAGTCTGTTGGTATTTGGGTTTGATTGCTTGGAACGTCGCGTAATGCTTGCTCTATTTGGGCGGCCCTTCTTGTGACCTGTCATGGTGGGGAAGGGGGCAGTAGCCCACGTGTACGATATCTCAGGCTGCTTCGGTAGGGTGCGGACACATCTTCGAAAGACAGGAAAGAGGCCAAGTGGGGCGCCGGATGTTTTTCTAGCCTTCTCACCCGAAACCCTAAACCCTAAACCCTGGAGTCGTACCATCAACCCTGCCTGCGGTTCGGCCAGCTATGCGAGAGCGAAAAAAACTCCAAACCCTCTTAAAAAGATCTGAACGGCAACGCATGAAAACACTTCTTGAAGCAGTCTTGCCCAGTTGCGAACCAGCTTGGGTACGATGGTCATCGAGGCCGGGGCCCAAGAAACAGCCTTGTCACGTTCAGGGTCAGGGGTTTAGGGTCTAGGGTCTAGGGTCTAGGGTTTAGGGTTTAGGGTTTAGGGGTGCTTTGCTCAAGGTTTGTCAGGATCGGCTTGGTGGGGGCATCTAGAATTTTTGTGAAGCGTTTTTCAGTTTTCAGCGGTGCAGGAAGGGGATCGTCTCCTGATGCCAACAGTTCTCTGACAGCTATGGCTCAGCAAGGTGCTTGCATACATCACCTCTGCAGAATGCAGCAAGCCACCGTTGCTCCGAAAGCTCTTCGAATCAGATGGAGGTGCGGTGCATCCAACGCTGCACCCTGAGGTGAATTCTCAGGAGAAGCGGTCTCTCATTGCCAGAGAGACTGGGCTACTAGTTGCAGGGCCCCCAATTGGCTTGCAGGGAGACAGCCGATGGCTAAAGAGCGGCTGAAACGCTTCCGCCTGAAGGTCATATCAGATGAGCATGATCAGGATGGCAATAGTGCAGATACAGGCTGGGTTCACAGAGTTTTGTAGCAAAATGGTGCACTGAATGTCTAACCAGCCAACCGCAATTCAGGGGGGTGCGTGCCCTATAGTGTGGAACTCAGTTCGTGTGCTCGATGGACTAGTGCAGAAGAGTGGCTGCGTGTATGTGCAGAAAGGTGCCAGCCGTTTTGTATAGCAGAGTCGCTTCGTGTCTCATTCAGAGTGCCAGAATTGTGTAGTAGCGCGCATCTCTGAATCGCTTGCTCGTGACCATCTTCCGACAGGACGAACCTTTTTGATGAGTGGAGCTGCGCTGTCGGCCTTGCCCTCAGTCGGTTCTCCCATTTTAATCCTGCACAGTTACATATAATTGCCCCTTTCATGGCTTCATAATCCTTTCCCTCATAAACAAGGTCCCTAGAAGGGACCCGAAGCAAGAATCCACCGAGCTACCAAGGCCTGTGTTGTCATGGCGGCGGCAATATTGCTTCTGTCAAGAAGACTGGTCATGCAGCAGGCTGGGAAGTGCCCTAAACCCTACACCCTAAACCTTAAGCCCTAAACCCCTAAACCCCTAAACCCCCAAACCCCTAAACCCCTAAACCCTAAACCCCAAAGTGTGTTTGTTCACTTTAGATGGGTGCACATGGGCGCAGGGTTCGGATTCAGCCTGCTGGGCTCATTGAGTGTCTAGTGTTTTGCTCAGGAGGCTGACCTTTCTATGCCGAGCGTTCAGTCTAAGCAGCCACGGCCTTGAAAACAACCAAGGGATGAGCCAAGGCGTGTATGTCTCGGATCTGAATCTAGCGCCTCATTGGAAGTCTCAGGTTGGAGCACTTCAGTGCAGACATGTCTTGCATGCCACAGTGTCCGGCCTCACGTCGACTGGAGGAGGACTTCAGAAGGTCCAAAAAGTCGTTGCCTTGAGCCGCGGGCCTTCTTGGGGGCCACAGGCTTCTTGAGCCACTCCTCAGCCTTCCAGGAGCATGCGGATGGGGTCTCCAGCCTGGAGCACCTCGGAAGTCTTAAAAATAAGCCTGGCGATCTCTTGAACAAAGCGGTGCTCTCTTGCGATACTCCGAGGAAGTGCTTAGAGAGCTGCCCCTCCACTGGCTTCATGGCCACCATGGAGTTTGGTGAGTGCAAGGCCAAGTGCCAGAGACTCCTGGCTGCCAGCATTGGCTTTCTCTTTGTGTGCAGGCGGAGCACTTGAATAAGGGGGCGCGTGGCAAGAGTTGTGTGAACATTTGTGAAGACCATTCTGGCTCTAAGGGAAGCATCCTGCAGCAGGCAGGGCTCGGGACACGAAACTTGTGCAGGAAAAGCCCTCCAAAACCTGAGGTTAAACTCTATTTCTTACATCGGATTGCAAGGTAAAACAGGCGGCCGCTTGTAGGGCTTTGGGGGGGCTCTTTATGTCTCAGCTGTTGAGCTCCCACACAAGCTGGAAACATGGTGAAACTCAAGAAGGCTTCCTGGCAAAGGGCTTGGAGACCTGCGTCGTAAACGAGAAATCGAGCCTTGATTTGGGCAGCACTACGCAAGTTGAGGGAGCCGCTGATGTTTTCAAGGATGAGAAGCAGATTTGGACCCTGGGGCTGAGGGTCTCGCGACTTGAATTCGTGACTTCTTAGATCTCATGCTTGCGTGTAGCTGGCTGAATATACTCGTCTCGTCCTGCTGTACAGACGGCTCACTTGGTTGCGTGCAGTGCTCAATGTTAAATGCGGAAGATTGCCCTGAAATTCTTCCTTATCTCTTCAACTCTTCAACTTACGCACACTGGGCCAAGTGCGTAGCAGCCGCCTGCTCGTACCCCTGGCAGGGATGAAGAATGTTCCGGATTCAGAGCCACCCTTGGAAGGCGAACCGCGTCTGCTCAGCTGGAGTTGCACACGGCACATGCGCTGATAAAAGCGACTTGCAGGATGCAAGCGCCAGTGCCGCCAACACGGTGGCAACTTTTGGCATCTGTTGTGCGCCATCTCATGTGGGGGTTTCCGAAAATAGGGGTACCCTCCATGTAAGGGGGCTCTATTCTTTTTAAGGGGTATGACAGGGGCACCCCTATTTTGGGAAATGTCCATGTTGGAGTTGACAGCTACGGGAAAGAGCTATCCCGGCCACTGGCAGGTACTCTGACTGTGCCCAAGCCTGTGCTGCAAAGACAGCCCTTCCTCAGGCGGAGTGTGGAGAGTGCATATGGCATAGGGCAACAGATGCAACGAGCTCCGGCACTTTGAAATCTGTGAGGTCCAGTACATGAAAAAGTACAACATCTCCTTCGACTCAGATATGGAAGATCTGCATGCGGATGCCTAGAGCTGAGCTGGACATGACATGGCACGACACAGCCAGGATCGGTTGAGGGGTGGCAACTTGAGCGACAAGCAACGAAAGACCCAGAAAGACTGAGGTGACCGCGCTCCTTAGGACGAGGCGTGGACATGTCAGACATATAGTGACCGCTGGGGCGATGTAAGTAATCCGTATGTCTCCTGAAGGTTTCAGTTCAAGAAGCGCTCCAGCAGTCATCCTTTCAGCTTCGTGCTCGAGAAGTGCGACTTCGGGGGCTTCCTGGGTCCTAGGGTTCTAGGACTCGGAATCCCTGAGCCATTCTGACCAATCCTTGCGAGTGATCTCGTGGTCCACCCGTCTCCAGGTGAGCACCGTATAGCACGGCCATGGAAACGTTTCGAGACGGGTAGGGCAAGTGTAGCAAAGTGGCACCAGGTATCAGAAGAAGGTGGCCGATGCTTTGGGCAAGGTCTTGGAGCTGCCCGAGGATGCGCCACTGCCCCATGTGATACTGAGGCGACGGGGAGTGAGATTGGTCATGGTGCCATCCTAAATCCTAAACCCTAAACCCTAAACTCTATACCCTAAACCCTAAACCCTAAACCCTAAACCCTAAACCCTAAACCCTAAAACCCTAAACCCTAAAACCCTAAAACCCTAAAACCCTAAAACCCTAAAACCCTAAAACCCTAAAACCCTAAAACCCTAAAACCCTAAACCCTAAACCCTAACGTGCATGCAGCACTGCCAGGCAGTACCGACCTGGGATCCATCATGTGGTCCCAAGGGTCCTTTGCCAGCACCCGGCGCTTGCGTGCAGCCCAAGGGCGGAAAACGCTGCGACAGTTGAGGTTCTCTTCAAGGACCCGGGCGATGACGTAGAAGCCGTCGTGGACATGAAGGTGGGCAGAATCGAACTGGATGCTGCGAATTGCCAGCACCTTGTGTGCTCCCTGGTGGCTTTTCTTAGATGGGGCTTCTAGGGCTTCTACACCGGCGGCTGTTGTGCATATTCTTAAAGAATGAAAAGCAACGCAAACGTTCAACCACTGAGCTGACTGAATGTGAAGAAGGGCCTGCCCATCTCTGACGTGAAGAAGCTGTCCGACAAGTCCGTGCTGAAAAAGATAGACGAGGTCGGAGTGGGCAGGCTTTTTGCTCAATTAGCAGTGGTCACGCGATAGATTTCTGGCAGGAGCTGCGAAATTCGCTTGTCAGAGATCTGACGACCGTCGGTCTCGCGGAAGTATCACCAACAGACTGCTGGCAGCAAGTGTGCTTAGTTGGAGGTCTGTGGACCAGCTGTCACTTTCTCAAGCTTGTCGTTCATCTTCCGGAGCAACAGACATCTGAGGAAGCCTTGGAAAGCACATCCTCAACAGTAGATGGCAACTTTGTTTCTTTGGGCTTCTTGGCATGACTTTGTGACTGCGCCATGGGGCACAATCGAGGGAAACCCACTACCCTCACACTGCCCAAGGTTGGCACACAGTCTGCCGACTGAACGAGGTGGGCACTTTCTGCTGTGTGCCAGAGTTTCCTTAGGAATTATGTTGAGTTTAGGACGTCAAGGAACACAGAATACTCAACATCCTGGATTATGGTTCCAAGGGGAGTATAGTTTTGGCTAGTCCCGCAATCTCGAAGCTCTCGTCATGAGAGCGATACCTTTCTAGATGAAGCTGACCTGTGTAGCTTGGTTCACCCAAGAGGAAGTCGAAGTCTTGGGAGCTTTGGGGACTCCACATTCTGCAGAGCTACAACATATGTAGGAATAGGAAGACTGAAGATGCTGTCATTCCCTGAGGCTGACACATCCTACGATGGAAATGGAAAGGCGTGCCTTGGCTACTGCTAACTCAGGCTCTGCACGCACTGCTTGGACCTGGCTTTAAGGATTAGGGTGTGCGCAGGTTGTAGGGTTTGGTATTGAGAAAGGCGGCTCATGCTTTCCACTGGCTTTACTATCTCCTGTTGCAGTCGGCTTATGACACGACGGCAGTCTGAGTCTTTGCAAGCGCAAGTACTTGAAGTGAGACGACGGACCGTTGATGTTAATACTGAAACGTCTAAATGCCCAACACCTGATACGTAAAGACTGCCGGGCGGCAACCGCCCATTGTCGTGACCTGTATACAGCTCATCGGCAACGTGGGCATGTATTCGAACAGTTTAGTCTTGGCACCACCCATTTGTCACAGTTAGGTTTACCACCAGTGGCCTCATGATCAGCCACAGATGACCCGTGAGTAGTTTGGGCTTCCAGTGAGACAGGTCAGGTTCAGATAGGGTTCAGATAGACTGAGTGTGAAGGGAAGCTGAGAAGGTTAAAAACGCCAAGTAGGAATGGAAGGTCTTGGCCCGAGTTTCGGGAGCCTACTAAGTACCGAAAGCTGCCAAGAAATAAGCATGGCGACTGCACGTGCAATCACTTGAGTTGCGGGGCTTGCTTAGGCTTACTCTCCAACTGATCTGCTTGTGTCATGTTAGAATCAGCGACGTAGCGATCGCGATCTGGCGGGGAAAGACTCTGGCGGGGAAAGACTGCCCAGGAGAATCGTGCATGGCCAGTCCTTGCAACAATGCTCCATGTCCCAACCTCAGACTCGGGAACAACTGAGCATCATATATGCAGTGCCGGTCGGACTTTTTTCGCGCAGCAGGAGCTAGAAGACGCATCGAAAGGGTGAGGTTTCTATTCAGTTGTTGCCCCATGCTGGGATCTTTGTCACTCGACCGCTTGTGCGTTTCGGCTTCCCAGTGCTGCTCACTTGCCGAAGAAACCCCATTTCGGCAAGATTGGCGCGGACATGCTTATGCCCTCCGCCTGGGCGGCATGAGACACGTGGCAGCGGCATGGCTTCTGACTTGGCTGCGCTCTCCTTACCTGATGAAGCCTTGCCAAGACTTGTCAAGATTGTGAAGTGAGGGGCTGCCGGAGCCAGTCATGTCCGTCTCGCCTTCCGCTTTCTTCCTGCATTCTGCATGATTCGGTTGTGTCCCAGCCGGATATCACAGGTGCCTTGCCAAGGAGGACTGCGATAGAGATGGTTGCCCAGAGATTGAATTAGAGGAGGAGCAGGGCGCCAAGAGTTGCCTAAGCATCACAAGCCCTTTCACCACAGTACTCAGAAGCACAAACGCTACGATTCTCCAGCTTTGTTGGCCCACAGGTCAGAGGCCGAGTCTCTGCGTGTGCAGCTGTTGCAAAGTCGGAAGCTGCAATTGCAGCGGGCGCCTCTCGCTGAGGCCCGAGCCCGATCCTACGTACCCTTTCATTAGGGGACCCCACGAATTTCCCCCGATTTAGACCCCCAAATAGTAGGATTATTTGCAATAAGGACCACAAATCAATCGGGTACCCCTATTTTAAGGAAGCCCCCATACAAGCTGTCTTCCTGCAGGTCCCTGCGTTGCAGCAGTTCAGCTTGCCGGTGGCAAGGGCTTTTGCCACTGTCAGCCAGGCAGCATTCTGTCGCTCGACTGGTGTTGCGATGGCGATTTTTTTTTCCGTCTGGGTACGGGTGCCCCACTTAGACATGGGCTGGGTATCTGCATGTTGAGGTGGAGCGGACGAGGAGTTGCGAAACTGGACTTGCAAGGCCCGACCGCTGTGTTTTGCGGTAGCGATGGTAGCGGCAACTCACCGCGATAAGCTTGTCTTTTGTCTTTCCCCCGACCCCTCAGGCTTGCCACGATGTCGGTTTCACTCTGAGTCTGGGCACGCGACGGCTGGTGCGCCAGGCCGGAAAGCCATCGGAGCACTTATACGCTCAACATTTGTAGGGGATTGAAGTTACTTCCAAGTCACTTCGCTACATTTGGCACAGGCAGAGCTTGGCGAGGCAGACTCGACCTTCGTCTTCGTGTCACGTGCAGAGTGGCGGCTGGAACACCCAGAAGCAGAATGGCTGTGGCCACCTGCCAGGGCTAAGGAGCCTTTGAAACACGGCGGCCAGGACACGACTAGCATCCGCGGGGCACACGTAATTTCCCAGTACTGTAGCGCGACCAATGCCTGCAAAGTTTCAGTGTTTCGCGCAGCCTTATGTGGCCGCGAGGCCAGGCACGTACCTACCCCTCCCACCTGATCCGTGCAGGATTGCTTCGCTCATTGTGGCCAGCTAGGAGGTTTTTGCGAATGGTGCGGCGTTGGAAATGCATGCTGCAAGAAAGACGAGGCAGGCGGCAAACCCCAAGAAATCCAGATTGAAGTAGCAGCCCACACCGACCCGCAGCTTTGGTGAGGCAGGGGACCCGGCCGAATGCTTCAAAGCCACCGGGTTCACCGGGTCTGAGAATCACGATGCTTGCTTGCAGTGAGCGAAGCTACAATTTTGCTTCCCTTGATGGTGCCCCGAACTTTCGAGTGACTTTGAGTGTTACAGGACAAGGTGTTCTTGCAGATTCGGGATAGGTGCTTCTGATTCCCTGCGCCAGGAGTGCGTGGCGGTGCACGAAGCTGCCGCTTGAACCGAACGTGCTTGAAGCAGAGCTGATGCTGAATGCCTGAGGGAGTTGAAGGTTCTTTGCAACTCCCCGCCTTTCTCCTAAAATCGAGGATGAATGGGTCCATGTACAGTGAGGACACTTTGAAAAAGCCAAGGCTCCCAAGACTCCAGTCCTGCACGGAGGTGAGGATTGCTGGCTCTATTGCGGCAAGGCGCATTCATGCGCCTTCCGCGATCGCCGGAGTAATTTTGTGAAGGCCTGTGCGTTACGTCAGTTGTGACCCTGCAAGAGGCCGGCGGCTTTTGCGACTGGTGTGGTGCTGGCAATGCCTGCTGCAGGCATCTTGGGGGAGATGCAGCAGGGTGTGCGAACGGGCCCCGTGTTTGTTAGGGTTTCGAGGCCTGTTGCAAAAAGGGTTTAGGGTTTAGGGTTGGCCGGACCTGGCAGCACCCACGGGAGTCCGGATGCAAAAAGGGTTGGCCGGAAAGGGGGTGGGGAAACACGACCCTTGCGATTCTTGACGTAAAGTTTAAGGCAGCGTTTGTTTGCCCGAGGGGCGGCTACGAAAAGGATCCGCTCGAATGCCAGGGAGCTTCAGCCGGGGACTTTGTGAAGCAAGCAGCTGGTTCGGATTCTGAGCATGACACGTGATAAGTTGTGCAGCCGTTGGCAAGGCAAACTCTTCCCACCATGTATGCACGACCCCGGTTTCGAATGTGCCGCCGCCAAAGACAAAGCGCGAATTCGGGTGCATCTTGGCAATCAGAGGCCTCGCGATGCTGACATGCCGACATGACAGGCGAATGCAGTCTGAATATGCGTGGAACATGAAAGGCTCGAAGACTTTCACGAACGCCTTACATGATGCTTTCTTTTGGAGTGACGAGCTCCCAGTGGAGGACCTGAAGCATGTGAATCCCAGAGCTGCTTTCAACTGGATCCCACTGCATTGTCATTGAATTGTTCCAATGTGTTCATTGACGTGGCTATGGGTTTGTGATGTCAAACATTGCTTGCTTTGTTGAAGTGACAAATGCTCAGCGTGGTTGGTGGGAATGTGTGTGTACCTTTGTGGCCATTTTGGCATCAAGGATCACACCCGAAGTTTTACTAGGGTGGTCCAGCAACAGGTGGGTGCGGCGTGTAGGGACCCGGTGGTCGTTCCTGGACAACTCGAGTTGGATTCCTCTTTTGAGGGCCTCCTTGAGGTGTTCTGGGAGCCCCGGACCCTGGACGTTGCACTCTTAGCTGTGGGCTCTTACTTGTGGGCCTTGAGCATCTGCTGTGGTCGGCGATCCGTCAGGACAGCCCCAGAGCAGGCTCAGCAACCCCACTTGGAAAGGCGCCCTACGTAGAACCCCGTCCTTGAGAGTGATGGACCCCACGGCTGAAGAGCTACAGGCCATCACGAACCTGGCGGGTGTCTACGCATGGGCTGGAGTTACGGGCGGTCTAGAGGCCTCCTTAAAAGATGCCCTTGGAGACCCAGTTAGGGTGAGAGAGGTGGCCTTGATCCCGAGACCTGCCTGGGATACGGCGGTCACAGGATTGAAGGTCAGGGGCCCACCTGCTGCAGATGGCACGCCAGGCCCTCTTCGCGACCTCACCTTGGTGGAAGCAGCAAGGGTTGAGTCCACGCGTCGGGTGGCCCTTCTCCTCATGGGGCAGCAGCCCGACTCACCAGGAACTGCTGGGCCACCTGTGGTTGTCCCGGCCCCGGGCCCTGGGGCAGCAACCGCGGCAGCCCTAGTCGGAGCTAGGAAGCTCAAGCTCTCGGCAGTCCTGGACCCCACCCTGGACGCAGAGGTTTCCCCGTTGGCCAACACGGAGGTCCAGAAGCTGTACGCTGATTACAAGGCCAAGTATGGGGATTTTCCTTCGCCGGAGGCTGATCCCTCTGCCGACCAGCTTGCCTCCATCAAGCAGGTGGTGGCTTCGGGATCAGCCCCCTACGCGGACTTCAGCCTCTTCGGACCTCATGGACTGAGGCTGCTGAGGAAACAAACGTTCACATCGTACCAGCTAAATGCGGCGATGGGCGAGTGGACGAAGAGAGAGCAACCTGGCCCTGCGTCCTACCACAACTGGATGGAGGCTTGGAAGGTGCTCCGAACTTCGCTCCTCCTGCTCGAAGTTGCAGATGCTGAACGGTTGGACGCCTATGCCGAACACGTCCGCAGCTTCGTCACACAGTGCATGGTGGCTGGTGTATCGGGCTGAAAACAGGCTAAGGTGCGAGCATATGGAACGCCTCCGCCGCATCCTCCACGACAAGCCAGAGTACGGGTACACCCAGGCCAGGCCGTGGAATGCGGCGTTTGCTGCGGCTGTGAGGGACTCAGAGTTCTGGACACGTGAGCTGGTCACTCCTGCCACGCTTTGGCTTTCGCAGCAGAGTTCAGGCCTGGGCTCAGGAGGGGGCACTAAAAGGCCACAGCAGGACGGTGGTGACGACGGCCCTCTTCGCAAAAAGCAGAAGACCAAGAAGAAGAAGTACGAGGGGGAGGATCTCAGCGAGAAGAAGGGTAACGTCTATGTCCTCAACAGGCGTGGGGCCCGGATCTGCGACGGGTACAACCGGGGCAGGTGTGGCAACAAGAAGCCTCAGGGTGTCTGCAAGGACAAGTGCAGTCACCAGTGCAATCTCTGCTTGGGGCCACACCAAGCTCTGGAGTGCCCAAAAGCCTGAACCGGGGACCCGCCTCACACTGAGTTGGCCATGGGCGCCGCAACAAAGGCGAGCGTAGCTGCTAAGCCAAACGTGGACCCCAACCAGGAGCTCATCGACAGGACTGCTCAGGCAAAGGCGCTGCCGGCCTCCCGTCCCGAAGTCCCTGCTGAGGTCAAGCCACCAACTCCGCCCCGGCCGAAGAAGAGGAAGCAAGTGCTGCCAGAGCCGACCACATCTACCTCTTCGCCAAAGCCGGGGCCCAAGCCGACGGTTCTTGGACCAGCTGGTCCGGCCGAGGCTGCCAGGCTTAGGCGAAGTTTGGTTCACGTGCCGCCCTTGGGCCACACACTGCCGAGTTACCCCGTTCTGGTAAAGGGTCCTAGGGCATATGGGACATGGGTGGCAAAGCCGGCGACAAACAATGTGCCGAAGCCTTGGGCGCTGGTTCTCTTCCCGGGCCAGACCAGA